TCGGAATTGGTGTGTCATCGACGTGAATTCCTAGCGGTAGCCTGACCTCCTTCGTCCAGGTTGTGAACAGGGTCGCAGAGGATTTCGTAGGGGAGAGGGCTAGACACTTTGCAGTGAAGAAGCGCGAAAGTTCAGAGAGATATTCGTTTACTTTCGAACACAGGTAATCAATTCCATTCCCAGTCGCCATGATCGAGCAATCGTCGGCGTAAGAGACAATCGAGACTCCCTCTGGTGGTTGAGGGAGCTTTGAAATGTAAAAGTTAAACAGTAGNTTCACCATCGGAATTGGTGTGTCATCGACGTGAATTCCTAGCGGTAGCCTGACCTCCTTCGTCCAGGTTGTGAACAGGGTCGCAGAGGATTTCGTAGGGGAGAGGGCTAGACACTTTGCAGTGAAGAAGCGCGAAAGTTCAGAGAGATATTCGTTTACTTTCGAACACAGGTAATCAATTCCATTCCCAGTCGCCATGATCGAGCAATCGTCGGCGTAAGAGACAATCAGGGTGGGCAAAAACTCGGAGTTCGAGCGAGCGAGCGAGCAAACTCCTACTCAATGCCTCGCACACAACGAGGCGCTCACAGCTCGTACTCCTAGCAGCAATGAGGCGAGGCACGAGAAGTTTGGCTTGCTCGGCAAACGAGCGAGCGCTGCTTGTTAGATCGCGCTCCTATTAAACGAGCGAGGCTGTTGTGGTTGCCTCACTCGCAGTGCGAGGCGAGTAGCTGTCTGCATACTCGCTCTGCTAGGTAAGACGAGTGAGCGACGAGCGAGCGCTCCGAGTGTACTATACAACACATGCATTTTTGTGCTTAAAAATATGGGAATGTAGTAAACAAATTATGCAAGAAAGTATGTTAATAATTGTATGTACATATGTACAAAGAATAGAGGCCGGTTCACATACGTTGAATTTCAAAGCAGCCGTCCACATAGCCAAAATTTGGCAACGCTAAGGCCAACACAAAGCAGAAAGATCGCTGCATCGCTCGCCAGCTGTTGCAAATAAATAAATAAAATTATATGAAATGTTTTATCCTTTCAATGAAATGAGGGCAAGAAATATAATTTTTCATGCAATTATTGATATGGCATATTAATTTATCTCTCGTTAATATATTAATTTAGTGGCCAAAGTAGTCTCTGCCAAGCTTCATTGTAGAACGCATATTTTTAACGTGCGTTCTGTCAAACCAACGCCAACTACAAAGTCAACGCGAAAGTTCTATGTGGACCAGCCTTAATTATCAAATACTGTTTCACACTCCAAATAGTAGTTGGTATTTTCTACATACATACATATGTATGGGAACTAAACCAGGAATATTCATTTGAAAATGCTAATGTCCTACTCATATAAATATTATATTCTCATTTATACATATGTAACATAGTTACTTAGCCGAATTACTTAGTGATTACTTGTATGTAAGAATACAAAGACAAATTATTTATCAGAAGCATTGCCCCTTACACATTGAAAAAAGGTAATATAAGCTCTCAAAAAAGCAAAATCGCTACAGCGAAAAAAGTGTTTGAAAAACCGCATAAATTCAAATCCGCATAAAAAAGAACCGCATAAAAAGAGACCTAAGTGTATAAGTTGAAATTTTATAAGAAATTATTGAACATTAAAAAAATTATACCTACCTAGATATGTATGCACATTAGACTGCATCACTCCCCATACAAAAAAAAATCGATACTATTTTTCCATTGGTATTATAAAATCTATTATATTTTAAGACGTCCACCAAAATATTTCGAAAAAATATTAAGATTTAAGTGAGCTGGACCGATTTGAAAATACCTCCAAAATGGAGTTTTTTATGAATCAAAATAGTTTCTTAAAGATTTTTTTTGAAATAATCCCCTGAAATGACAAAACGGCTTAATCTTAAAAAATTTGCAGAAAAATATTTTAAAAGAATTAAAAAAAAATTTGAACGGAATCGTTATGATGAGATTTTTGATGCTGTTTTTTAACTTTTTTCAAAGATTGGTATAAGAAAAACTTGAATAACTGAGCCTCAACTCTTCTGATTTAGACTCATTCAAAGGATGAAAGAGAAAGGTAGGATGAACGAACGTCATTTAAGAGTCATTGAGATCCCATAAATCTAAATCAGAATAGTTTTGGCCCAGTTATTCAAGTTTTTCGTAAATCAATCTTTGAAAAAAGTAAAAAAAACAGCATCAAAAATCTCATTCGTACGATTCCGTTGAAAAGATTTTTAAATATTTGTATGCAGATTTTTTAAGCTTAATCTGTTTTGTCATCTGAGGGGACTTTTTTCAAAAAGTTCTTTACGAAACTATTTTTATTCATAAAAAACTCCATTTTTGGAGGTATTTTCAAATCGGTCCAGCTCACTTAAATTTTAATATTTTTCCTAAATATTTTGGTGAACGTCTCAAAATTTAATAACTTTTGTAATCCCGGCGGAAAAACCGCAACTTTTTTTGGTGATGCAGTCTAATGCACATATGTACATATGTGCCTACCTAGTAGACAAAACTGGTCAAAATAGCACGCATCTATTCTTCTGTGCATGAGAATATCATAAATAAATACATACATATTTGTATATATGTATGTATATACATATCTGCATGTGTGCGTACAATCCTTTACTCGAAATTCTTAGTTAATGCAATTTTTATCCCATACATTTTTGCTGACCAAACAACCCGTTTGCCTGCCTAATCTGCTTGCCTCATTTGCCTCGCTCGTTTGCTCGCCTCATTTGCCTCGCTCGTTTACTAGCCTCGCTCGTCTGCTGCTGCAAATGAGTGCCTCGCTCGCAACGACGCCCTCGCGAGGGCAGAGCTAATGAGGCCCTCGTTTGCTTACTCGCTCGCTGGCTGCTCAGCGCGTGCGCTCGTACTTAACGAGTGCTCGTTTGCAAACAGCCTCGCTTGTTGCTCGTGAGTTGCGCAAGCTCGGAGCAAACTAACGAGCGAGCAAGGGGCTAAAATGAGGCTAATCCGAACCCTGGAGACAATCGAGACTCCCTCTGGTGGTTGAGGGAGCTTTGAAATGTAAAAGTTAAACAGTAGTGGGGAAAGGACACCAACCTGTGGAACCCCCTGTTTTATTTTTCTAGCTAGTCTTTTGGATCGGTTCACCCACTTTTGCGAGGCCTGCCCGGCGACAAATCATAACAATCTCGTTGGCTCCGGCCAATAGTGGTGGCAGAGCGTTAAACTTGCGGTCGGCATATTCCGTAAAACCGTCCCTGGTGGTTTTCTAATATGGGTGTGGTATTTGAAGAGGATGAATCTCGTGGTTGCCCCATGATGACTAAATTCCACGGCCAATGCAGTTTTATCATCATTTCATCGATACTTTTGATTCATCCGAAACTGTACACTATTTACGCTACTTATTAACAGAAACTTGTAGGTTTTTTCTAACACCGAAGATATAAATGTATAATTTTTTATTTGCATAACATATATTTTAATCAAAAATAATTTTTATATATTTCTCAGACACATNCTTTCATCGATACTTTTGATTCATCCGAAACTGTACACTATTTACGCTACTTATTAACAGAAACTTGTAGGTTTTTTCTAACACCGAAGATATCTATATACACTTGTGCTCATATAATTAAGTTATCCAGTAGTAAAATTGCAATAATCGAAATAACATAGCAACTCTTGACATAACGGTTTATATTTTTTTCATAAAGTAACTGCGTAGTGTGTCAAAAAATACGGAGAGGAATAAGTTCTATTTTTCATCTCTATTTATGGTAAAAGTGCATTTGTTTCACCGAAAGTTAAAACGTAAGTGCTCACATAATTAAGTCATCTTACTTAATTGCCATAAATTTGCTAAAATATCAAACCTCCACTGATTTATTTTCGTATTTCGTGTTATATCCTTAGCAATCGATTTAAAAATTTCTAAAATGGGTAAGAACAGGAGCTCTAATCCTTCCGAAAGGAAGATCATATGGGAGTGCTTCCAAAAATGTAAGACAGTAGCGAAAGTAACACAGGTATTGGGCTTTTCCAGAGGAAAGGTTGTCAATGCTATTNTTTTTATATATTTCTCAGACACATTGCTGGAAGTGTGGCGATATCTTTTGCGAACGCTGTATCGATAAGAGTATTCCTTTGCCTGGCCAGGATAGTGGCAAGCCAGTACCAGTGTGTCGTGCTTGCTTTAGGGTCCTACAAAAAACTAGTCCGTGAATACTCAACTCAGTGAGTGACTGCAAGAACGAGCAGTGAAGAGACAAAAGAATTCCTTGAGTGCATACTTAGTCAAGACTGCTGTTGTGTTTAGCTTAGTATGGGAGTGTATGTGCGATGTTCTTTAAGCATCTCGTTTGTTATGTTCGTGGCGTGAAAGTGCAAGCTGATTTAGCAAAATTAAAATTCAGTTTAATGAAAAAACATGCTTACATACTAGGTAACCGTTATAATCACAAAAAGTTGATGTATTTACGAAAAATTAAAATTTATTGCATTTCTAGAGTATTTAAAAGCTATCTAAAAAAACTAAAAAATATATATGTAAGTACATATGGAGCCCTTACCGATAANGGCTTGCTTTAGGGTCCTACAAAAAACTAGTCCGTGAATACTCAACTCAGTGAGTGACTGCAAGAACGAGCAGTGAAGAGACAAAAAAGAATTCCTTGAGTGCATACTTAGTCAAGACTGCTGTTATGTTTAGCTTAGTATGGGAGTGTATGTGCGATGTTCTTTAAGCATCTCGTTTGTTATGTTCGTGGCGTGAAAGTGCAAGCTGATTTAGCAAAATTAAAATTCAGTTTAATGAAAAAACATGCTTACATACTAGGTAACCGTTATAATCACAAAAAGTTGATGTATTTACGAAAAATTAAAATTTATTGCATTTCTAGAGTATTTAAAAGCTATCTAAAAAAACTAAAAAATATATATGTAAGTACATATGGAGCCCTTACCGATAAAAAAACGACGGCAACATTTTTTTCAAAATTTTCTTTTTGATGCAGAAATATTCTAGAGCATCTAGGTACATTTCCGCATCAAAAATAAAATTTTGAAAAAAATGTCGCTTACGTTATTTTGGCGGTTAGGGCTCGATATATGAATTTATTAAATAAACGAATTGCAAAATAAAAATGCTCTGTTTGACGTTCATGTATACCAATGTACTATCGAAATGCCACTCGGTAAAGAGGCCGAAAAAACGCTCATTTTCCAATATAAAGTTTACTGTACCTAGACCTAAGAACCCAAGTGCTCTCCAACTCCAATATTAATACATAAATAATATACATATACAAATACATTAAAGCATATGTCACGAATATATAAGTTGTTGCCTTAGTTTATGATGTTGAGTTCTATGAAAAAATGTTTTTTTTTTCTGCAACTGTTTCTGCAGCTTAAGTTTTGCATGCTGGTACCTCAAAATTCTATTACCTTCAACTCTATAGAACTTTACTATAGTTGCTATTCATAGTATACATTTTAGTTTCAGTGGCGTGGCTAGCGACCCACAAGTTTAAAGCGTTTGGACTTTGTTATTTCTAAGTTTGTAATTTTAGTTATGAATTGGTGAATTTTTGTATGTCTTCCAAAACGATTTCAAATTTAAGCGTCAACTTTGTGATAGAAGGTGAATAAAGATGATAAGCATTAGATGTTCTTAACGGGTGAGAGATTTTATGAAACAACTTGCACTATCATCATAAAAGTCAGCTTAATCAAAATTGAATGAGAAACGAATTTTCACGCTTCTTAACGGGTTTCTTTTTAACCGACTTCCAAAAAGGAGGAGGTTATAAGTTCGTCGGAATATTTTTTTTTTATTTTTTTATTTTTTTTTTATGTATGTTACTGCATAACTTTGGACCACGTCAACCGATTTCGATAATTCTTTTTGCATCGGAAAGGTAGTGTCTCAGAGGTGGTCCCATACTAATCTGGATCAGTGGATCATGAGATATATATATATTTTTTTTTTCTTTTATATGTGAGTTGAAGTCGGTTTACTTTTTGCTAAAAATTACTTTTTACTTTTAAATGTCAATGCAAAAACGGTATGAATTTACCGCCGGTTAAGAACTCATCATCATTTGTGTAACCAAACAAATCTGCACAATTTTACTGCTTATCATGCAAATGGTAGTGGTACGTTTTACTGCACTGTCAGTTATCCGGAGCGTGTATTTTTAAATTGTGTTAGTATTAATCCGCATGGCACATAATTTTTAGTTTTTCAATTAACATTGTTAAAATTTCTTAAACTGCACAAGCTTCACATTCATTTCAAGAGTGCAATTCAATCTGTCGTTATTGACTGGCTATTAGACGAATAAATATGTATGTATGTAGATTTTAATCAAATTATTCAGTAGAATGAAATATTGGAAATTAAACATGAAAGAAATATATAATATAAATGCTAAAACGCCCATAATACAAACAGAATTATTTAGTATTTTTTTTCTCTTTAACAGAGTAAGTAATTTTATTACAAGTTAATTTTATGCAAATAATTAACACAGCGCTAGAAAGTGGTAATAAAATAAACCCATTGACCGCTTTGCAATTTTTTTTTTCAGCACATCCTGAATTCCTGCTGCTAATAGCCAATTTCAGTTGGTTTTATACGCAATATCACCGGCACACTAGTGCAGGGCAGTATGGAAACTTCAGTCACAACCGCTGTTACTAGCTCGGAAGGTGTAATATCATACATCAAATTCAATGGCGACATTTTCCCTTTCGACTGCCAATTTGCCAAACTACACTTTTCGCTGCGAATTAAATCATCCGGATTGCCCAATTCATTATAGACGATTGCATCGGTTTGTGAGCGTTCACTAAATTTGTGCGTTTCGCAACAAACCAACACAGGCACATTGAACGAGTGTGCCACAAGTGCAACTTGTGCTGTACCGGTACGTGCCATAACATAACCATTGGCAAGTAATGCATGTGCCCCTAGTAGTACCTTTGTCGCTTCGGGCATAACAAAACTTATAGCGTTGATGAGTACATAAGTGCATGGTATTTCTTTGACAGTTAAACGGCGCAACAGCTCTTGACCCTCACAGAAGGGACGTGAGTCTACTACGATTACACGAAAGTCGACACGCCTGCGTTGTGCTTCCTCAAAGATATACGTTATCAAGGATGAGCTGAAAATCGATAAAGGTTACACTTGCATATTCAATGCTATTCTAAGTAATCGTTCTAATTTACCAGCCAAATGTCAGTATAACATCCCCATTTGAGATTTTCTCTTGTACAGAGTAGCTGATGGCCTCGGCCGCTTTTCCGATCTGGTTTTCAATATAGGTGTCGATAAAGCGGCACAAATTCTCTTTTAACTATAACATATCAAAAACACGAGAGTAATACATATTTGTATAGTTATATGCATACATATGTGGAATTGTTAGCAACCTACATCTGTTTCCGGCTGATCAGTTGGCAACTGTGTCAGCACATGCTTAATATGCTTATATGCGTTGCTTACGGATACTGCAAGCGGACGGCATTTCTGCAAGTGTTCTACACTATTTGTTATTGTTGTCTCCAAGCCGCGTGTAAATTCTTTTTTTGGAGGTGTCTCGAAATCTCTAATAACCTAGAAATTTCTATATTAGATAAAATTTGTGGTGTTTGTCATCAAGCCTAAAAATTTACCATTTTCAATGCATTAAGAAAAGCAATGCATCTCGCATTTGAACCCACAATTGTGCGTTTGGCATACTGTTCTCCCAGGCGGGCGATACTAGGGTGTATGTGTGGATTGTTCAAAAATAAGCTCACATCTTGTCGTGCCTTCTCCAAATGATTGAAAAGACGCACTTTGCAATCGTTTAAGCGTAAAGACTTTGTCAAGGGACTACTGTTTTTTGTTGGCGAAGTACTAGCAGGAATAGTAGACGCCGCTTTTACTGGGGTGTTGGATGGTGACGCCTTGGGGATGTCCTTAGCATTGTTGGAAGTACCAGGCTTTTTTTGTGCAGTGACATTTTTTTGTGCTTTGGCCGCACGTTGAGCCTCTTGCAAAGCGCGCCTTTCGGCTTTGCTTAAAGTTGGCTTTTTCTAAAATATCGGTTAGTGAGTATATTTTAAAACATATAATGTAATCATATTAAAACCTTGTCTTCCTGTGCAGTTGTTGAATCTAATTTTGTGGTAATCTTAGTGGCTTCTAATTGTGCTGTAATTTCTGGCACGCCTGTGGCTTTAGCCTCCTTTAGGACCTGTTTTGCTTTTTTCTTCGCCTCACGTTCAGCTTTGATTTGCTCACGAGTTTTGTCAATACCAGCAGCGGGCGTATTAGTGACAGCGATATTCGAAAGGCTGTTGTCAGGTGGGGTTTTCTGGCCACCAACAGCAAGTGCAATTGACTTGCTTGCAACTGGCGCGATTAGAGTTGTTGCCTGTGGACCAGTACTTAATGGTTTTGCTTTTTTTGTCTGTTTAGCCAGCTTTTTCGCCTCGCGTTCTGCGATTATTTCTTCGCGCGTTTTTCCGGGTGCGGAATTTACTGAAGTGGGGTTGGAGGACATAGTTGTTTCTTCTACTAATTGCTTTTTAAATCCTGTAATATTTACTTGCGTGTGTTTGGTTTCTGATTTCTCTTTTAAAATACAATCGGAGGAACTTTGTTCAACTGCCACCTTAGTGTTATCTACATATGTATGTTAGATTTAGATTTTAATGAATTGAGTGGGTGTGGTATGAATATTACTATATTTACTAGTAGAAAAATTACTTGGCCCTATTACGTCAGGCTCGACTGCCTCAATGCCGTCACTTTGTGGCAACTCGAACGTAGCCTCGGATCCTAATGCCAGAGATTTATTGATTTTATTACGTTTGCGCTGACGCGGTCCCGCACGTTTTTTCTTTTGGCCGGCAATGCTTCCTTCAGACTTTGATTTTGTCTTTGATAGCTGCTCCTAAAAAAGCGACTCAAATAAAAATGTTTATAGAACATACTGATGTTGTAGTGGTATTTGAATGGGGGATGCATTGCATTAAATTTGCAATACATAAATCATATGAAAAAAGGAAATATAACCGAAACGAAGCGGTGCAAGAAACCCGGGAGTTATATATTTATTAGCGAGAATTGTATAAATGTACCTTATTCTCCTGAATACCAGACATTTTTTAATTCCACCCTGCGTCCAAGCAGTGCAAAAGATATAGAATGTATGTAAAGAATTCTTTAATTTCACATTTTCATTGAGAAATATATCATAGATTCCAATACAATTGATGCATGCATTTACAAAGCGACAAATAAGGATAGAAAAAATCAACCGCGGTGGCACCGTGACTTTGAAGTATACTCGGAATAATTACCTTGCACTTTTCTACAATGTATGGAAATAGTTATTTTAACATCAAATATCTTTATTTACCTATAAATTGTTAAATTTGCTCGCGACAGCAGCGGAAATTAATTTCGTTTGCAAATGTCAAATTAGAACTGCGAAACAGATGTTTAACGTTCTCTGCTTTCGAAGTAGGGATGTCGGAAAAACATCGATGCATCGAAAATATCGATGTTTTGCTTCGATGCATCGAAAATTTTCCATTCGATGTATAAATAGTCGATGCATCGATGCATCGATGTATCGATGTTTTTTGAAAACTGACATCTACGTTACATCGAACCATCATTCCAGTTATTCAATTGTTCAAAAAGAAGAAGTGACTTTGGCCAAAAAATTAAAATGGCTGCAAGAAGTTCCGTTAGAAACATAATTAGCTCAGTTGCAGTAATTTATTTAAAATTTTCTACAATTTTGCTAATAACATATTTTGTTGTGAAACATTATCTGAAAAATCCTATGCAAATCGATGCATCGATGTACGCCCTTCGATGCATCGAAAAATATCGATGTACATTTCGATGCATCGAATCAAAGAAAAACATCGATGTATTTTTGCCACTGACATCCCTATTTCGAAGTCGTTCAGGCTTTTCGCGCTTGACGTTTCTTGACTTTTGCAGTAAATGTTTGCAAATACTCTGTAAACACTATTCTTTAAATTTCTCTTTTTAAAGGTTACACCGATTTTTTATAAAGCGGTTAACGATTTAGTAGCAAATTATAAAAATTATTTTAGGCATGTTTTATTCAACCTATGATCCAACTACACAAGATCTGACAACATGAAACAAGAGAAAAGTTATTTTCTGGCTGACGTTTGTAATTTCGGCGCCACGTTATTTTCTGTGAAAAGTAAACAAAGAATATGAAGACGAAGCATAAAGAAAAAATGCAAGCAATGTTGTGCACATGTTCGTGCTAACCAATTTATTATTTTTGTGCGTGTTTTTGCATCCAATCACCGCGCACTTCATATTAATTACATTTGCGCAAAAAATCACTTAAAAATCACTGAAATAAACCACCGACAAAATACACATAAAGAAAGAAACAAAACAGAAATAGCAAACTTCAAAATTACAAACGTCACACACTTTTTTCTCAATTGTTATTACAAATGGCTGCTTCTCAACCGGCCAGATATGTTCCAATTGGTTCAGGTATTCAACCATCACAAGCAAATAGCTAAATTTTGGTTAAATAAAACGAAATTAGCTTATTTTCTATGTTAGCCTAATTTTGACAGTTGTTTGACTGCAAATAGTGTCAAAGCTTGTTTTCCTTCATTCAGCTATCTTCGAAAAACAACTGATAGCTGGCAATGCTGCACAAGTTTCCGCAAGGGTTGCAGCATGTGGATTTTTCGTTTTTCGTACCGTAGCTACGAATTACGAATTACGAAAAATCGGGTTCTAGAATAAGGGGGTTAGTCTCTTGGTTTTTTCAGTTTTCAAGCGAAATGGCGACTTACAGGCTTACCTAATATTCACGCACGCCGCCAATTTATTGTCAAAAATTTCTCATGCACATGCAACTTGTATGAGATCAACCGAAATTGAACGGGGTGCGTATGAAGCTAACTCAATTTCCAATTTATGTTCTGCGTGACATTTTGATTNTGTCAAAAATTTCTCATGCACATGCAACTTGTATGAGATCAACCGAAATTGAACGGGGTGCGTATGAAGCTAACTCAATTTCCAATTTATGTTCTGCCAAATTTATGTTGCGTACCAAAACGCAAGCCGCGAATATTAGGTTAGCCTGTTACAGTTACAATTGGGATATTATATTGGGATTTTTTTGCGATTTTAAATTCTCACTGGTACCGAAACTGCTGTACCGGATTCGGTTATGAACCAAAAAATACTACCTACATTGACACACAAACTGCATTATAATTTTAATTTTATTTTATTACCAACACTGGCAGCCATCTGTTCGCAGTTGTCAGTTGAATATGCAATTCGCCGCCTAGCGCCTTCCAACTTGCTAAATTCTGGAGTTTCGGATTTATTGTATATTTTGGCTAATTTTCTATCATATATCTGAAAACACATATTCTTTAAGTGAATAATAGTATCAATTCGGAAACCAGAACCCTTATATTCAAATGACGAGGTTTGTATGGCTGTGAAGCATTATTGAAATTTAACCTAAAAACGAATCATCTCAACATCTTTCCTTCTCATATATATACAGATCGAATATCGAATTGGGCGATGTAACGCCACACAATATCAAGCAATTGAAGAAGCTCAATACCGTTGTTTTCCCTGTATCGTACAACGAAAAGTTTTACATTGATGTCCTGGAAGCTGGTGAATTGGCAAAGCTGGTGTACTACAATGATATCGTAGTGGGCGCAGTGTGCTGTCGCATTGACACTTCGGAAAATCAAAGGCGTCTCTACATTATGACTTTAGGATGTTTATCTTCGTATCGACGCCTTGGAATTGGTACTGTAATGTTCCAACATATTCTCAACTATGCAGAAAAAGATGGCAACTTTGATAGCATCTTCCTGTAAGCGTTACCAATTTGATCAATTCGTAAGATACTAATAATTCATTAATTTCTGTTGGCAGGCACGTGCAAATAAATAATGAGGGTGCTATAGCGTTTTACAAGAAATTCGGTTTCGAAATTGTTGAGACCAAGGAACACTATTACAAACGCATTGAACCTGCGGACGCGTATGTTTTGCAAAAAACGCTACGGAACACAAATAGTCATGCCAGCGGTGGGAATAGTAATCATAACCACAATCCTGTACACACTAATGGGCATTTGGATAAAAAGGAAAAGAAAGCATAAACAATTAAAGGATGTACTATCTATGTTCGCCAATACTGTTTGTAATACGGTGTTCGCATGAGACGATTTTCCAGGCAATTTTAGATTAGTTGAATCAAAAGTTGGCTGCACCCCAACTTCATTGGAAGGCCGTTCACACCAGGCGATTGTTGCTTTCAACTAAAAGTTGCCTGTAAAATCGCCTCATGCGAACACCGTATAAGCAGTTTTAGTTATATTAAAATCAATACGAAAATAAAAATAAAACCAATATCTACATGATGTATGTATGCGTGTGTACGTTTAATGTTTAGTTTATATGCAGCTATGTGTCGCTGCAGGAGCATATGGGCCGCGCAAAAATTTTTGTAATCGTATTGATGGGGAGGGGCTGGCGAAGGGTGTAATCGTTNACACTGGTACCGAAACTGCTGTACCGGATTCGGTTATGAACCAAAAAATCCTACCTACATTGGCACACAAACTGCATTATAATTTTAATTTTATTTTATTACCAACACTGGCANTAGAATCGTACATTTATTCACAATTCTTGTAATAGCAACAATAGCAGTCTCGTAACAAGAGAAACACTTGATTTTGCATCACAATTCTAATCATGATTCTAATGTAGTTCTCTTGTATGATTTTCAAATCGGAAATCAGTTTAAAGAACTATGTTAGAATTCGATTAGAGAATGATTAGAATTCAAGGTTAGAATTTCGATCCGATATTTAACCTCTCCCCGATATCGAGAACTAAGTCCCTGGTAGTGCCTCATTCTAATCTGGTTTAGATCCGATCATTGGATCATGAAATATATATATANAGCCATCTGTTCGCAGTTGTCAGTTGAATATGCAATTCGCCGCCTAGCGCCTTCCAACTTGCTAAATTCTGGAGTTTCGGATTTATTGTATATTTTGGCTAATTTTCTATCATATATCTGAAAACACATATTCTTTAAGTGAATAATAGTATCAATTCGGAAACCAGAACCCTTATATTCAAATGACGAGGTTTGTATGGCTGTGAAGCATTATTGAAATTTAACCTAAAAACGAATCATCTCAACATCTTTCCTTCTCATATATATACAGATCGAATATCGAATTGGGCGATGTAACGCCACACAATATCAAGCAATTGAAGAAGCTCAATACCGTTGTTTTCCCTGTATCGTACAACGAAAAGTTTTACATTGATGTCCTGGAAGCTGGTGAATTGGCAAAGCTGGTGTACTACAATGATATCGTAGTGGGCGCAGTGTGCTGTCGCATTGACACTTCGGAAAATCAAAGGCGTCTCTACATTATGACTTTAGGATGTTTATCTTCGTATCGACGCCTTGGAATTGGTACTGTAATGTTCCAACATATTCTCAACTATGCAGAAAAAGATGGCAACTTTGATAGCATCTTCCTGTAAGCGTTACCAATTTGATCAATTCGTAAGATACTAATAATTCATTAATTTCTGTTGGCAGGCACGTGCAAATAAATAATGAGGGTGCTATAGCGTTTTACAAGAAATTTGGTTTCGAAATTGTTGAGACCAAGGAACACTATTACAAACGCATTGAACCTGCGGACGCGTATGTTTTGCAAAAAACGCTACGGAACACAAATAGTCATGCCAGCGGTGGGAATAGTAATCATAACCACAATCCTGTACACACTAATGGGCATTTGGATAAAAAGGAAAAGAAAGCATAAACAATTAAAGGATGTACTATCTATGTTCGTCAATACTGTTTGTAATACGGTGTTCGCATGAGACGATTTTCCAGGCAATTTTAGATTAGTTGAATCAAAAGTTGGCTGCACCCCAACTTCCTTGGAAGGCCGTTCACACCAGGCGATTGTTGCTTTCAACTAAAAGTTGCCTGTAAAATCGCCTCATGCGAACACCGTATAAGCAGTTTTAGTTATATTAAAATCAATACGAAAATAAAAATAAAACCAATATCTACATGATGTATGTATGCGTGTGTACGTTTAATGTTTAGTTTATATGCAGCTATGTGTCGCTGCAGGAGCATATGGGCCGCGCAAAAATTTTTGTAATCGTATTGTTGGGGAGGGGCTGGCGAAGGGTGTAATCGTTACTAATATCGTCACATGTAAAGCAAAAGTCCCAAATAACGATATTGTGAATTTTTAATTTCTAATTGGAAACTGAAAGGAGCTTCCAACTAGAATCGTACATTTATTCACAATTCTTGTAATAGCAACAATAGCAGTCTCGTAACAAGAGAAACACTTGATTTTGCATCACAATTCTAATCATGATTCTAATGTAGTTCTCTTGTATGATTTTCAAATCGGAAATCAGTTTAAAGAACTATGTTAGAATTCGATTAGAGAATGATTAGAATTCAACGTTAGAATTTCGATCCGATATTTAACCTCTCCCCGATATCGAGAACTAAGTCCCTGGTAGTGCCTCATTCTAATCTGGTTTAGATCCGATCATTGGATCATGAAATATATATATATATATTTTTTTTATAGGAGAATTTAAGTCGGTTTTGTTCTTTGCTTAAAAATTACTTGTTTAAGAATGCATTGATTCTCAACGGTTTCTCTAATCATCTTCTAGCCTTCTACATTCGAGTTCAAATCTTTCAGCCTCATTGCGTAAGTCGTAAATTAGGCTAAATTGTAAGACTCGACAANCTTTAAGTGAATAATAGTATCAATTCGGAAACCAGAACCCTTATATTCAAATGACGAGGTTTGTATGGCTGTGAAGCATTATTGAAATTTAACCTAAAAACGAATCATCTCAACATCTTTCCTTCTCATATATATACAGATCGAATATCGAATTGGGCGATGTAACGCCACACAATATCAAGCAATTGAAGAAGCTCAATACCGTTGTTTTCCCTGTATCGTACAACGAAAAGTTTTACATTGATGTCCTGGAAGCTGGTGAATTGGCAAAGCTGGTGTACTACAATGATATCGTAGTGGGCGCAGTGTGCTGTCGCATTGACACTTCGGAAAATCAAAGGCGTCTCTACATTATGACTTTAGGATGTTTATCTTCGTATCGACGCCTTGGAATTGGTACTGTAATGTTCCAACATATTCTCAACTATGCAGAAAAAGATGGCAACTTTGATAGCATCTTCCTGTAAGCGTTACCAATTTGATCAATTCGTAAGATACTAATAATTCATTAATTTCTGTTGGCAGGCACGTGCAAATAAATAATGAGGGTGCTATAGCGTTTTACAAGAAATTTGGTTTCGAAATTGTTGAGACCAAGGAACACTATTACAAACGCATTGAACCTGCGGACGCGTATGTTTTGCAAAAAACGCTACGGAACACAAATAGTCATGCCAGCGGTGGGAATAGTAATCATAACCACAATCCTGTACACACTAATGGGCATTTGGATAAAAAGGAAAAGAAAGCATAAACAATTAAAGGATGTACTATCTATGTTCGCCAATACTGTTTGTAATACGGTGTTCGCATGAGACGATTTTCCAGGCAATTTTAGATTAGTTGAATCAAAAGTTGGCTGCACCCCAACTTCATTGGAAGGCCGTTCACACCAGGCGATTGTTGCTTTCAACTAAAAGTTGCCTGTAAAATCGCCTCATGCGAACACCGTATAAGCAGTTTTAGTTATATTAAAATCAATACGAAAATAAAAATAAAACCAATATCTACATGATGTATGTATGCGTGTGTACGTTTAATGTTTAGTTTATATGCAGCTATGTGTCGCTGCAGGAGCATATGGGCCGCGCAAAAATTTTTGTAATCGTATTGTTGGGGAGGGGCTGGCGAAGGGTGTAATCGTTACTAATATCGTCACATGTAAAGCAAAAGTCCCAAATAACGATATTGTGAATTTTTAATTTCTAATTGGAAACTGAAAGGAGCTTCCAACTAGAATCGTACATTTATTCACAATTCTTGTAATAGCAACAATAGCAGTCTCGTAACAAGAGAAACACTTGATTTTGCATCACAATTCTAATCATGATTCTAATGTAGTTCTCTTGTATGATTTTCAAATCGGAAATCAGTTTAAAGAACTATGTTAGAATTCGATTAGAGAATGATTAGAATTCAACGTTAGAATTTCGATCCGATATTTAACCTCTCCCCGATATCGAGAACTAAGTCCCTGGTAGTGCCTCATTCTAATCTGGTTTAGATCCGATCATTGGATCATGAAATATATATATATATATTTTTTTTATAGGAGAATTTAAGTCGGTTTTGTTCTTTGCTTAAAAATTACTTGTTTAAGAATGCATTGATTCTCGACGGTTTCTCTAATCATCTTCTAGCCTTCTACATTCGAGTTCAAATATTTCAGCCTCATTGCGTAAGTCGTAAATTAGGCTAAATTGTAAGACTCGACAACATTGGCATTGTTTACTGTCGTGCTGAAAAAAGTAAACGACGAAATTTGTCGAAAACTATACAGTGCTGCCAAGTTTGTTCCGTTTTAATACACTAGTCGAGTGGAAATTTTAGGCAATGACGTGAAATTTTCCATACGATTCGACTCTCGAAAAACGACTTGCATTCGACACGACTCTCGCAATGAGGGTGTTTTTCTAATCGTTGTCTAGCCTAAATGTTTGCTGGGTTAAGAGGTATACCATTCGTGAATGCCATCATTCTGTGATACCTATTTACGGTAAATACCTCTGATATCTTTGATCTAATTGAATTATAATTAAATACATTCATTCATATCTATAACTTCACATGACACACACAATTCAAACCAAACTATTTTTTCCCTTGAGTATCTCTATACAAATAGTTTGGTTGTCTCAACTGAATTGGTATACATCTAAAACATGAAAATACGTACAAACAAAAAAATGTCTAAATCAAGAAACATCCAAAATATTTCTCTTTGTTTTAAATGGATTTATATTATTTTATACTATGCCGGTTGTCTATGTTTTCAACCTGCCCGGAGCGCTCTTCAATTAACGAGATTCAACATTGCCTACACACATTTCATACGGATAGTTATATTATTGGGTTTTATATGGAGTGTGACAATGAAGATTTCAAGCAATGAATGTTCCAAAGCCATGTTTGGCCATCTATCTCCAGTTCGAAAATTTGTACTCATCATGGAGTGTTTCATCAGCGCCATTGCCTTCACAGTATCCAGTGCAACGATGGAAAGGAAGAAATATAAGCATCTGCAGCTAACGAAAAGTTTCCAAGACCTGGATAACCGAATGGAGAACGATTTTCCTAACATTAACTGGAACTACTACAAGACAGAGCGAAAGTTTACAACGTTTACAATTTGTGTTATCGTTTACTTCTATATGATTGCATTTATTTATGTATACAAATTATCAAACTGCAATTGTGACTATGCGACAACATTTGTGCTTGCTTTTAGCCATGCGACCTGTACAGCGGCTCCAAGTTGTATAATTTTTTTGAATATAGGAATGATGGACTTACAACGCATCCGTTATCGCCTTATACAACGCCTACTGAAACAACAGGACACGTCTGGAGGTGATGTTAGAAGACAGGCTGAATTTCAATTTCGACTTGCGCGCCTAATTGACTATTGCAAAAGCTATATTCAGCTAATTCTACAAATTAACGATGTGTTTGGCGTTGTAGGTGGTATCGATTTGTTTCATGATTTCGTTGTTTTAACAAATCTTACGTTTCTAATGTGCCAAAAAGCAACGGAACCAAATACACGCTTGAAAGAATATGTAGTTATATTTCTTTTTATGCTGCCGCGAATTTATAAGGTAACAATCTATGCAGTATATGGATACGTGACAAATAAAGAAGTGAGTAATTTTGGTGAGCCATAATGTTAGCATTAAAAGTAACTAGCTAATTTTTTGATTGCAGCAAACAAACTGCATTCATGAAGTTAAAATGTGCGAAATTTATTTTAGACGATCCAAGGCAATTAAAAATAATTTAGAGACATTCATTCATTGGCAAATGCAAAATACTTACTCACTATTGGTTGGAAAGGCGACGTATTGCAATCTTACAATATTGTATTTGGTATGTTATCGTCGTGTTAACAAATGTACTAGCCCTATACTAAATATTATTTGGCTTACGTTTATATCTGTGGAAAAGGTTTATTGGAGTTTTGAATTGAAAATAAAAAAATTGGAACCTCAGCGTATGAAAGACAAAATAGNAAAAAATATTCAGGGTATTCATCTAAATGCGTAGATGCTTCGAAAATGTGTAAACCTCGTAAATAACCCAGTTTTCCATACAAAATTAAGTAAGTTTACGAGGTTTATACAGTTACGAGGCATATACGCATTTAGATGAGTACCCTGATTGTTTTTATATCAACTATTGTTGTAGAATTTTAAAGATATTATTCAAACTCTTATACTTTTTCTCAACAGATCGTTAAAAGTATTCTCAGCAGCGTTCTTATTTTAATACAGTTGCAGTTGCAGCAGAATAGCATTACCAATCGTATGAAGAATCACGGCATGATAAAAGATGTTGAGTTCATTTATGGCAAATCGTAGATAAATTATTAGTAATTTCAAGCAGCATACATAAACGAATATATATTTCATATTACGATAAAGCAAATTGCATTGTAAGATTATGTTATTTTACTAAACGCTACGCCATAAAGTATTAATTTAAAGCAAACGAAAACCTAATATTATCAAATAATAAAATATTAATAGTAAATACTACTTTACGTAGGTTTATTAAAGTGTCGATAAATTCCAAAATCGTCCACATTGTATACATCTGTATTTAGCTGTACACCTGAAAATATTTTTCATTAAAAATGATAATGTCATTTTAAAAAAATATTACCGAAAAGACATGCAACTTCTTCATAAGATATTTCGTCGTTCTGCCGCATGCTGCGTATTTGATCCAATATTTCNCGCCTGTAGAATGATTATTTTAAAAACCATAGATATGAACATATGTAAAAAATATTCAGGGTATTCATCTAAATGCGTAGATGCTTCGAAAATGTGTAAACCTCGTAAATAACCCAGTTTTCCATACAAAATTAAGTAAGTTTACGAGGTTTATACAGTTACGAGGCATATACGCATTTAGATGAGTACCCTGATTGTTTTTATACCAAATATTGTTGTAGAATTTTAAGGATATTATTCAAACTCTTATACTTTTTCTCAACAGATCGTTAAAAGTATTCTCAGCAGCGTTCTTATTTTAATACAGTTGCAGTTGCAGCANAATGATTATTTTAAAACCCATAGATATGAACATATGTAAAAAATATTCAGGGTATTCATCTAAATGCGTAGATGCTTCGAAAATGTGTAAACCTCGTAAATAACCCAGTTTTCCATACAAAATTAAGTAAGTTTACGAGGTTTATACAGTTACGAGGCATATACGCATTTAGATGAGTACCCTGATTGTTTTTATACCAAATATTGTTGTAGAATTTTAAGGATATTATTCAAACTCTTATACTTTTTCTCAACAGATCGTTAAAAGTATTCTCAGCAGCGTTCTTATTTTAATACAGTTGCAGTTGCAGCAGAATAGCATTACCAATCGTATGAAGAATCACGGCATGATAAAAGATGTTGAGTTCATTTATGGCAAATCGTAGATAAATTATTAGTAATTTCAAGCAGCATACATAAACGAATATATATTTCATATTACGATAAAGCAAATTGCATTGTAAGATTATGTTATTTTACTAAACGCTACGCCATAAAGTATTAAAGCAAACGAAAACCTAATATTATCAAATAATAAAATATTAATAGTAAATACTACTTTACGTAGGTTTATTAAAGTGTCGATAAATTCCAAAATCGTCCACATTGTATACATCTGTATTTAGCTGTACACCTGAAAATATTTTTCATTAAAAATGATAATGTCATTTTAAAAAAATATTACCGAAAAGACATGCAACTTCTTCATAAGATATTTCGTCGTTCTGCCGCATGCTGCGTATTTGATCCAATATTTCACGCAAGCGATTACGAGTAAACATTTTGGCGGCATGAGTTTTTATAAGTAACAACAGATCTTCCTTAGTATTCCAATAAAATGGATATCGGTTCTTGTCGAAATACTCTATTATGCGTCGAATAATCTAAATATAAGGTTAGATAATCAAAATACATGCAATTTATCATGTTTTGAGATGATGGACAACAATCAATCAAAGTATTTTTAACCTTTAAAATATTACGGATGTTATGAGACCTTATCAATTACCTAACTATACAAATGATAGAAATCCGTTTTATATAAAGTTTGTTTTAGTCTAATCAGAGCGAAAAATATGTACATACATAGATTTGAAATACTTACAGCAATAATAATATCAATCTCTGTTTCCTTAGATTGCTGAGGTCTTTTTTGTATCTTTGTATAAATTATTTCATAGCAAATAGATTCCACATGAGTTTTCCTCAACGTGTACAACTTGTTGTGCTCTATTAATGAGTATAATAATCGCATTGCCATCAAATGTTTCGGAGATGCTGCTAATTGAGATTCACTCATTGGTGCGCACAGTGAAAAGTATTCCAAATAACGTACATCTGCTGACGCTAACCAAACTAGCTTTAAATTATGCATCGGGTATGGCGTCAAATCGTTGGGTTTGTCGGGGGCACAAAATTTTAATAAAACTCGAAAACGAATTTTTATGGTTATTCCTTCAGTGGAAGCACTAAGCAAAATATAGTTACTTTGCCATTCATTATTACAATCTAAGTTTACTCTGTAATCTAAGTTTCTCGTTTCCTCGATCAATTCCAATTCGTAAATATCGCCCATATGTCCACGTACAAAATAGCCACACAAATCTAAGCCCTGCGCTATTAATCCTTTCACAATATTGGTTACAATACCGCCAGCAACGTACTCGCCGCTGCTGAAGAATGGCAAATCCTGCGTGCCAAATACGCTGCAGCGTCCGCGTTGCGCAATCTTGATAAATGATGGATACTTCGTACGTATTACACCAAGAGGCATGAACTTCGAAAAATCCAATATTATTGAACAATCGAAAGCGCTAGCTGAAAATTGCAATTAAGTGCAAGATTTAAATGTAGGATGTAGTTAACTACTTACCTTTATACCTTAAGCTCACGAGCAAGGGACCAATTATTGGATCATTTCGTAATATTTCCATTAGATAAACGCGTATTAATTCAAAATCTTTTACCAAAAAACTGCTGGATTTCTCCGCTGAAATCGCATTTGCAATGTTTTGAAAATGGCTGTCGAAGGCCGACCTTTGTGTGCTATACGACATTGTTTACAAAGTTTAATTTGTGTTCAATCGGTATCTTATATATTTTGTTGTCTTTTCAATAAAAAACTAAAAAGTTCTCTTTTAGAACGAAAAATTACGCATTTCCAAAACTTGAGTCAATTTGAAATGACAGCCAAGAGAAACGGTAAAATTTCGCAAAAATAGTAGTGTTGCCAAGTAATGTTTTTGAACTTTTTGTGACTCTCTCCTACTGAATAGCTAAATCATCTCAAGTCACAAAAATAGTCACTAATTGCTAATCTCAAATTTAGTGTCTTGAGATGAGACTGAATTACTGAATCCCAGGGTAAATGTAGAATACCTATAACTGCCATACTGGTGTTTTTGATGTTCAAAGTAGAGAAATATAGATATTCTACACTTGTTCCAAAACATTAATTAATTGGAAAAGTTGTGAGCAACCGCTGCTAAAAAAATCAGTGATCGTAATGTGTCTTCTGAACTGCGTGATACATTAGCCCTCAACTTCAAAACACACAACATATTTAGGCCGATTCTGAGCACAAACTCCCCGGGAGTTTACTCTCTTCTCCCTTTCCTCCTATTTTTTATATTAAATGGCAGAGTTGAGCTCTCAAAAAAGTGTCGAAACAGCTTTTTCGAAGCTCGAATTTCCTCCTCCCAAGTTTTCGGCGAAAATGCTACTCCTGGGAGTTAATTATTGGGGAATTTCCTTCTCGGGAGAAACAAATTCCCGGAGAATGAACTCTCCGGGAGTATTAAGAATTAGCCTAACTGTCTCAAATGATCAGGTAAATATTACGATCGACTAATACGCAACTTTTCAGTTGATCAGTAGTACAAAACAACGCGTTCAGAAGGTGCAATCGCAACAGTTAAAGCGGAGGTATACAACATGCGTCACGCCGCCAATGTCAAATAAAATTGAACACGTGCGTTTGTATGACAGCTGTTATAGNCGTTCAAAGTAGAGAAATATAGATATTCTGCACTTGTTCCAAAACATTAATTAATTGGAAAAGTTGTGAGCAACCGCTGCTAAAAAAATCAGTGATCTGAACTGCCCTCAAATTCAAAACACACAATAATAAACTCTCCGGGAGTATTAAGAATTAGCCTAATTGTCTCAAATGATCAGAAAAATATTACGATCGACTAATACGCAACTTTTCAGTTGATCAGTAGTACAAAACAGCGCGTTCAGAAGGTGCAATCGCACCAGTTAAAGCGGAGGTATGCAACATGCGTCACGCCTCCAATGTCAAATAAAATTGAACACGTGCGTTTGTATGACAGCTGTTATAGACGACGCCGTTACGAATGCGTTAACGCAGTTGGCGTCGAAAATAAACTAACTCACTACTTTTCTGGTGCGTTCATGCGTTAACATTTGAAATTACATTTGTGGATATGCTTATCAGCTATTTCTTGTTTACAAAACAATGAGCGGCACAACGCAAGGTGTGTAACAGCAAATTTTTCAACGTCGTCAACGCACCAACGGATCAACGCAACGCCGCAGCAAATAAAATTATGTACGCTGTTATGTTATGTATGTTATGTGCGCCTTCTGAACGGGTCCAATGTTTTATCATGGTTTCAAGTGGGTGGTACCGCTATTTTGGTTTGCCGATTTTGACAGTGGTGGTAACTTGTAAATAAACCTTTGTTTACAAATCAGTGGCAACGAGAAGTTTGAATTATAAGTGCAAAATGAGTTTAAATTGTGTTAATTTGCAATTTGTTGCAATTTTGAGTTGAAGACTGCGTAAAAACTAATAAAATTAAGTGCTGCGTTTTAAATTACGACAGCCGTCAAGATGCAAGATGCGTGGATGCAAGTGTAGCGCTGGGACGAATCGCTGCATTTTCTGTACATAGAGCACGGCAAAGCCGTTACCGAAATGTTTCTTTATTATTATATTAACATCATTTCCTTACAATGATTTTGGTTCTGCTCCAGGCAGCCTCCATTAGCATGTTAACAAATCGATCCCGCTAAGATGCTGCCGTAGTTTTCCGCAGCAGCCTTAATTGCAAAGCAAAGGAGTGCGACCAGTAGGTCTATTGTGCCCCTAGCTCATCACAATACCTCAACCAGACCCACCCCAGAAATTTCATAATAGACCCCTTGTGACAGTGAGTGTATATGTTCCTCTCTTGACCAGACGTGCCTTATGCTCCTATACCTCCTGCGTGCAACGGCCTCACACTCCATAAGAAAGTGTAGGGGAGTCTCCTTGGCCGCATTGCAAATGCTCAGGTCCTATCGGGGTCGAGAAAGCGGCCATTCCTCATTTCCTGCAACTCCTATGTGCCTTGGTACCCACATTGGTTGGATATCATTAACCTCCGCCAGAGCATTAAGCCTCTTGACACACTCCAAAACCAAGGAGGACTTGATCTCGAATGTTGAGAGGGCCATAAGTGCCGCCTGACTACCACTTATTATAAGTATCCTTTCATTCCTATAGTTCAGGCGAATGTTAATCTCAGCGCGCATACTGATGGCATAGACCTCCGCTTGAAAGATGCCAGGAAAGGTTCCCAGGGGCACATAAAGCTTCAGCCTGGGGCCGTACATGTCTGCTCCAATCCCCGCTGTAAACTGTATTGTGCTCGCCTATATGTGACTCTCCGTAATAGAGGTACACCAGGTCGCCTTGTTATAAGTGTGGGTCCTAAAATTTCTTTTGAAGACCACCTCTCTGTTAATATTGTCCCTGNCCAGCGTTTCAAGCCCTTTCTTTTTCGTGCTCCAATGGCATGTCGTTATTCAGCTCGGATAAACCCCGGCGACTTTTGTATCTGAATAATGTACTTTCAATCTTCTTTTCCCCCTTATTTGGCGTTGTAACCGGCAACGCGTTTTAGGACAGGTTCAAAAACGCACGCCAGTAATTTACCTTATGTGCCAACTGACGCCAATTGGAAATGCCAAGTTTAGCCCTGTCCTTCTGCACTTGGTATTTCCATCGCAGTGTGGGCCTCTCTCTTCCTCTGTTGTTGTTATTGTTGTAGCGGCTACAACAACCCCGCCTGGATCGGTTAATAACTCAGTCGCTGTCGTCAAGCTCAACTAACGAAAGCCCTAAAAGCGTGCAGCATCAATGGGGTCGGTCCACGCGGACAAAGGCGTTAGCAGTGTCGGGTTTTCCGGGCATACGAAAAGATGTTTTGAGTTGTGGGGCACATCTGCGTCTAATCTGCTCTGGTATGAGTTTAACCTGCTGCAATAGCCAGAGCGAAGTTGGGCTATTGTAGTTCTAGACTCCCGAGGCAGATGAAGATCCGTCAATGTCCGGTGGTTGTGTGCCTATAACGGCATTCTCTCTTCCTATGCTGAGCTTCGGTGCCCATTCTAACCAAAGGGCCGAGGCAGCGGATCCACTGCGGTACTCGCCGTCGCCAATGCAAAAAGGTCCGTAAATCTTCCGAAAAATCTTTCTTTCGAATACTCCAAGAGCCGCCTCGTCGGATGTTGTTATTGTCCATGATTCTGCGCCATATACCAGAGCGGACATAATGAGAGTGTGGTTTTCGTACGTCGATACAGGATTTTACTTCTTAATTGCCTACTCAGTAGCACTTGTTGGCAAGAGTGATTCTGCGTTGGATTTCGATGCTGACATTATTATCGGTGTTAATGCTGGTTCCCAAGTAAACGAGTTTCTCTAGTTTCTCGAAATTATAACTGTCAACTGTGACGTGAGTGCCAAGGCGCGAATTTGCTGACTGTTTATTTTATGACGGGATATACTTCGTCTTGTCCTTGTTGACCACCGGACTTCGCGTTGGTTTGCTGGCGAACGGCTCGGTTTTTGCCAATTCTGACGGAGCTGGTGGTATTGCGTCATTTCACATAGCCACATCAGTTTCGCGGGGATGATAAATTCAGACATCGCAGCGTATAGGCAACTCTTAGTGCTGTTGAAAGCGCCTTTGAAGTCGACAAATAGAAGGTGAGTGTCGATCCATTTCTCCCGTGCCTTATCTAAGAATTGGCGTATTATGAATACCTGTTTAAAGTGAATTTGACAGGTCTAAAGCCACACTGATAAGGCGCAATTAGTTCGTTGGCGGCGGGCTTCAGTCTTTCGCACAAGACGCTCGATAGGATCTTGTAACCTATGCTTAGAAGGCTGATACCGCGGTAATTAGCGCAAATGGCGGGGCTGACTTTCTTGTGGTTTGGACAGAATACTCTTAAATTCCAGTCATCGGGCATGCGTTATCTGACCATATTCTGCATGAGAGTTGATGCGTGCACTTTATCGGCTCCTCGCCGCCGAACTTTAATAGCTCAGCTAGCAGGCTGCGTAATTGCCATTCAATCTAGACATAGTGAGGCGGTGGAACATCGTTGGACATCTTGAAACCTTAATTAAGTCGCCAAACTCTTTGGTAAAATTTTCAGGGCATTTTTCCTATCGNGTCGGGCATGCGTTATCTGACCATATTCTGCATGAGAGTTGATGCGTGCACTTTATCGGCTCCTCGCCGCCGAACTTTAATAGCTCAGCTAGAAGGCTGCGTAATTGCCATTCAATCTAGACATAGTGAGGCGGTGGAACATCGTTGGACATCTTGAAACCTTGATTAAGTCGCCAAACTCTTTGGTAAAATTTTCAGGGCATTTTTCCTATCGGCCAACATATCAAGCTCTGCGCACTAACGTATTTCGGTGTTTCTCTTCATATTGCGGCAAATACGTCTTGCTTACCTCTTCAGCTCCTATGACACATGGCTGGCGTTGCGCCCGATCGCAGCGTAGCCCTGTAAGCGGTATCCTTTTCCTCCAAAGCTTCTTGACACCCCTCATTGTACCAGTTGTTCTTTCGAGCTTTCTGAAATCCGACTACTAGTTCGGCGGCGGTACTTAATGAAAGGGTAATATGTTTCCATTGCTCGCATATGTTGGTTTGTTGAAGAGCGCTCTCTGAGAGCAGGTATGAGAGTCGAGTAGCGAATGCATTGGACGTCTGTTGTGACTGGAGCTTTTTGACGTCGAGCTTTCCTTGCATTTTTTGGCCCACATTTTTTGCTGCACAGAGGCGGGTGCGTATCTTGGATGCTACAATATAGTGGTCGATGTTTGGCCCTCGGAGTGTACGTACATATAAAACACTGGAAGCATGCCTTCCGTCTATCAAAACATGGTCGATTTGGTTTCTCGTTTTTCGATCTGAAAACAGCCACGTAGCTTGATGAATCTTTTCATGCTTGAAGCTAGTACTGCATACTACCGTGTATGTCCCGGCATTGTCGGAAGATTCGTCGTGGAGGCTGAATTTTCCGATGGTCGTTTAAGGTGTTCAAACTTCGTTCTTTCGAAAAGAAAATTTAAGAATTTATAAAAAATTTAAGATAAGCGGCATTATCTGCGTATATGTTGTACCTTACATGTTCATAATATGGCTCATTCCACGGTGACGGGTGTGACATTTCAACTCACAATTTAAGGCGTAATTTTTAAACTGTAATATAAAATTCTTTAAAACGAGTATTTTCTTATAGGTTTCCGAGGTATGCACAATGCCGAGAAAAAAATTAAGTGCGCCTGGGCCACACTGGAGAAGTGAAACTTACGTTACATACATATCTATTTTGTCTCATAACCAATATACATACATAACATATGTACATATATACATACATCTGCTTTTTTATGGCCTTATACCAATTATATTCAACAATTTTTAGTGAGCTTGAGGCCGTTTTTAATAAAAAACTTATTGTTGAAAAGCAACAATAATGTGAAAAAATGGTAGAAGTGTTAGCTATTTCGGAAATCACCACATTTCCTCATCAGACTTCTTAAATAATATACTAAAATTCTTAATTTTATTTTCGTTACATTCGGTATCGATTACGGTGGAATGAGTCATATACAAACATACCTACATATTTACACACACCTTCATTCATACACACACAGTAAATTCACGCATTCAATTCAAATAACAAATGCGACCACCACAATTATTCTCAGGCCGTAAACGTAAATAAACCACAGTCAGTTGGAGAATAGACGTACGCGCGCGTGGTTGGCCGTCTTTTACTTAAATAGTGGCGTAAAGCGTAAACTTACAAAAAGCTTACGAGGTGAACGGAAAATATCGGATACGCGTAGATTTGACATTTTTACCGGAATTCACTCCTTGCAACAATAATGGGTGTTTTCATACGTTTTGCGGTCGTGACTGTATCGTTTCTACTTGCCGTGCTCTTACAAAACTATCGGCTACTTTCTCGTTCCCTCCCAGCACCTAAGCTGAACGATACCGAATATTGGGGACCCGGAAATGGTGTAAATTATCAGGAAGATAGTGCGGTGAAGACCTTTGATATTAAAGTAAAACCTGAGGTATGAACATTGCGAATATACTCCTGAATATGTATGTATGTATAAGTATAAAAATATATATTAAACAGCGTAAAAAACAAGGCACCTTTTGCGTTGAATTTCTGTGCATATTTCGGTGTTGTTTGTATGGCAGTTTTTAACCGACTTCGAAAAAAGGAGGAGGTTATCAATTCGTGGGAATATTTTTTTTTTTTTGTTAAGTAAATTACCGCATATCTTGCATCGGAAAGGTAGTGTCTCATTGAATCATGAAAGAATTAACGGTACTCCTAAATTTTTATATGAGAACTGAAGTCGGTTTAGTTTTTGTTTAAAAATTACTTGTCACTTATGCATTTATGCAGGGTGAACATTAGGGGTATTCACGATCCGGTGCATACTGTCTAGCATGGTGCATAGATAGCATGATTGGCTAATTTTGTTGTTGTTTGAACACATGAAACAACAACAATCATGCTATTTATGCCATCTATGCACCATGCTAGACAGTATGTACCGGATCGTGAATACCCCTATTGTATTTACATTAATATTAATCAGGTGCGTTTCTAGAAAAGAGGCTAGCGGGTGTATGTGCTAAAGGTTTTGAAAACAAATTATGGGTTTTGTTCTTCGAAAGCTAATACATTTAATTAAAATACATATACAAAAATATATCATGGGCTCATTATTAAAGCAACAGAAGCTAAATCATTACTTTTTAGAATTTGTATATGTCTGTCGGTATATTTTTACGCGCATCACTCAAAAACTAATGCATGGAATCGAGTTCAGTTTACACCGATGCATTGCTAAAGGTCTAACTTAACCGCTCTGCAATTATTGGGTCAAAATGACCAATTGCAGTTTAGGGAATTTGATTAGATAAAGCAAATATTGCAATATGGCTGTCAAACGAAAGAGGTTTAGGAAGGCTTACAGTAGAAAATACGTTTGTGGGAGGTTGTCACCTGTTTTAAAATTTAATATTATTTAATTGATAGGAAAAATTAAATATTGAAATATGGGTATCAAAATAAAAAGATTTAGGAAAGTTGACTTCCAAAAATATTTTTGAGGAAGTTTACCACATATTTTAAATATTTTATTCAATTGATAAATTTATAAAATAAATGAAATATTATAATAGTGCTATCAAACTAAAGAGGTTTAAGAAAGTTTACTGCCAAAATATTTTTGGAGCGGGTTGCCACCTATCTGAAAAATTGTATTAATATATATAGTGATAAGGTATTGTAAATACCTAATTAATACATCTTTGAGAAAAGTGCAGGATATGCAGAATCGAGTAATAAGAGTATAAATTAAATTTCCAGGATTAAATACCTTCGAAAATATATTAATTAACACTTTTATTCATAAAAAAATAAAGTATGTTTCATAAATCGAAAATTTGTTTGAAAATGTTACTTCATAACTTATGCACAATGGTTAGAACTGAAAGCCGCCCATTGAGGGAGATTGGAAAAACTGTCACTCCTACTAACCTAAAAACTGGATGACGCTAAATATTCTGACCTTAAGTACTTCTACTTATGTAGGTAAAATACTCCCACTTAAGTACTAAGGTATTTAGTACTCGGCTAAATATAAGCTAAATATTTAACGATTTAGGTAAGCTAAAGCAATCAATGCCTTACCTCACCTCATTCCAAATTCCAAAGCCGTCCCGTAAATCACAAAATAGTCCCGAATGTCCCGAAATTCTTTATTAACGGACTTTTTTCCAAGGTTTTTATATTGAGTATTTAAATAGCAAGTATGTAGTATTTAATACAGTCATAAATACTATGTACGTTTGTATCTAGTAAATAAGTAGATACATTTTCTTTGGTACATCCGTAACCAAAATCTCTAAGTACCTTTATACGCCATGTTTCGTTATGTGAAACGAAAGTAAATATGTATCTAAATACTTTTCTACACAGTTAATATTTAGTAAATACAATTTTGCCCATCACAGGTATATACTAGGTGGCAGAGTGCAATTTCTGAACTAGTTCAATGATCCCTGCATATTTACGCAGTAAAGCCTTATTGGCCAGCGCATTAGGCTAACGACAGTTACAACTACAAAGTAACTGAATCGATATAATATGACTTAATAATGTATTAAAAGTAAACCCAAATGTGTATGTATGTACAATGTACAAAATTTTTCCGTGCGTACACCTTGGGTTTAAAAACATCAGTTCATTAAGGCCACTCTAATGTACATATGTACTTATGTGTGTATATACATCTAGATGTATTTATTGGACATTCATATATGTATGTACATAACGTCATTTAAAGAACAAAACCGCGTATCAACAAAATGGTTCTCTTTTTTATAAAGCAAACGCACTTCTGGCTAGTATGTATATTTCAGGACGAATTGATAAGTATTGAGCCAAGAGCTTGTGTGAGCAAATCCAATTTTTGCAGCAAATGTTAGTTACGCGAATTTGCAGAATGACTATACGCGGTTTTGTACTGTACATAGATGCACATCGCTAGCTTAGAGTGAAAAGTTGCTAAGTCCACTTTTTATGAAAACTCAGATTTTGAGAATTTGAATACGCATCGTTTCGAAAATTATAAAGGTACTTGTTTTATTTTTTCCTCTTCATAAGCAATAGAAGGAAAATTTGCTAAGTCCAAAAGAAGCACCACAAATCCGATAAGGCCAATATAATACGTCATCTTTTAATAAATATCGAATCTTTCTGATTCTTATGGTGTTTTGCTTTGCTTTAAACGCGCAAAGTGTTTGATTCAAAGTCTTGCGAAATAGTTAAAGAAAATGGCTATAGGAAGATTTTTTCCTCTCCTGTAAAATTTTTAAAATGGGACTCAGCAACTTTTCTTTCTAAGCTAGCGATATATGATTATGTAGATAAGAAATATTTTGTACGATTATTTGTGAATTTTTTACATATATGTACATAAGTAATTACAAAAACAATACCTTTTAAATGGAACAAATCAATATGAAAGTTATGTTCCTTCGTAACACTATTCTGATAGCAAACCAACAAAAATAAAACAAAAGCAAAAATAAAAATAAAATTGACCTAGTCATTAGTTAAGTTGTTAAATTTTTCTATAAGCGGTTTCTGGTAAAGACAACAAGAGATTTAAAATTTGGTAGGCAATAATATTTTGTGGTAATACCCTGCGAACCAGCTTCCCTTGAAGCATTTATTTTTCTTCACAGTAACACATTCCTAGTGAATCATTGGTTTATCTTTTACTATTTTTTGTTTTATTTACTAAATATTTGCATTGCTCTCTACTAGGAATGTTAATCCCGGGATCCCGGTCTTTTTTAGGTCCCGGGAATCCCTGGATTCTTGACAAGTAATCCCAGAATTTTCGGGATTTGTAATTTGCTTTGCTGGCAATAACAGAAACTCATTTTCTTGACCAGTGTTGGCTATATTTCTCTTTTATTTATTAATGATTCATATTTTTTATAAAAGTCTAGCTCATTATACATATAACACCGTGTGATAGTCAATTTTGCACACAACAAATCAATAAATCGCGAAACCGGGGGCGAAATATAATAAAATTGCGTTTTTAGTTTTTAACTCTGACGTCAGTAATTCAAAAAATGAAATTTGCATAGAGAAAAAGTATGGATATCAAGTTGAAGAGAAAATCTGTAGAATTTAAACAGATTAAATTTTTTTGTGCATATAGACGGGTAAGTATTGAAAATGTCCTTTTAAAATTTTACCCTTAAATATCCATGAAATTTTGCAATATTTACTTTAAAAAACATTATATTTTAAGGACTTCTATAAACTCGGTAACGTCCTCAATTTTTGTCCCTTTTAACTTTATCAGCTTAAAAAATTACCTATTCCTCCATGTGAATCCAAAAAATTTAAATTTTTTCAATTCTAAAGAAATTTCCTGTTTCATTTGGTAGCCATACTTCTATTCTACATTGCACTGAATTTTTTAAATGATTTTTAGAATTGATCATATCTTTGAGATTACAAAGTGCTTTAAAATAAATCCTTATATATGAAATTCTTTCAACCGCAAAATAAATTTGTTGACTTGCATTTTTTTGCATCCAGCTTTTTCGACATACCTTAAGTTACTTTATCAGATATGTACACGCCATAGTATTATTATATGCGTATACATTCAATAACTGTCTTTTGTTTTGTTACTTTTGAAATAATTTTGCCTTTAAATAAAAAAGTAGGTTTCAAACTCATATATTTAAAATTTATTTTATAGTAGGAAGCAATTTTTTCGATTTGGGTTGTTGAAAAATAATAAATATCTAAATACCAAGACTAATCCCGGAATCCCGGGATTATGATAAGCAGATCCCGAAAATCCCGGGATCGTAAAAAAGGAGAAATTAACATCCCTACTTTCTACGTAATGACTTGAACCAAATGCTCGCGGCTAGGTCAACTAGATAGCAAGGTGTGGCTTTAATTTATTTTGTATTTTAGTCGTTTTACAGCTTTCATTATTTGTGATTCCCTGCTCAAATACGGTAATGCTGGATTTCCACTAGGCATTAAATGGCAAAAATGACAAATGACAAAGTCGGGCAAAAAAAAATTACATTAAAAAATAGACATTAAGTTCATTTCCACATGGCATTTTTTTAAATGGCATACAGTTTTTGTCATTTCAATGCCTAGTGGAAATTCGGCATAAACGTTTATCTTAATAAGCGTCCTGTGTTTGCTAGTTTTTGTGAAAATGTCTGTCTTAAAACAACAAGCTCAGGGCTCGCCCGAAAGCGGGAGCTGTGGCTGTGTAAGCAAAATCAGCATCTTTGATTGCCTCCGATCTACCGTGGACTAGCAGAATCTTGTAATTGAGTTTAACGCTAGCTTTCGCCCAATGTTCGCTCAGCTGATATGGGTCCCATCAATGCAAGAGCGAACCAGCTACAATTTATCCCCAGCTCTGCAAGAAAATTAATTCCCACATTAGTAATTTGGCCTGGTTTCCATATACATCTAACCATCAGCGAGTTCAGGGCCCTGTTTGCCGCTTAGCTTTCAGAGTAGTCGCTTAGATTCCTGATTCCCACTTCTTTGATGGCAGCTACTTCAGGAGGAGGTCCATCCCAATACTCTTCACGGAAAATAAAATTTCGTAGTCTTGGTTTTTGTACAAAGTACGAAACTTTCGTTCATAATACGAACACATTTTTCACAACGAAACAAGATTTTACGAACCATTCGTAAATATAACGAAAGGACTATAGTTTTAGTTATTATATACATATGTATGAGTCTTTTATTTTGAAAGTGGCATAACCCATCGGCAGCCATAAACTAATAAGAGCCGAATATAGATTTTTATAATGTCACAAAGCGCCATAAAAAATAGATAGATATATGAGCCGTTTATTTTGATCGATTACTTGTATCTAGTCGCGTCGGTTATTCGTTCAACTTCATCAACCAAAGGTAAAAGGTTTTGTTATTAATTAATGACGACAGAAAGATTCACAGATGCATTCGGTTAGAAGCGACCAGGAAGAAATTTTTTTTTGGCTCTTTGTTACATTTTAAAAATCTATATACGGCTCTTATTAGCTTCATGGCTGCTTATTCTTGAGCCTCTGCGGATTACTTGGAGCTTATTGTTAGAGGAAAGTTTCAGTATGCCTAATGAAAGTTTATAAATTTGCTTTCTAGCTTGATAAATTGATACTCTTAGGCATAGATCGTTCCATTCATCAGCTCTACTACTTGCCTCATTTGGTCATGTTTAATTGTACTTTATGCTAGAGTCAAGTTCTTCGGAGTAATGCTGGACAGTAAACTCTTTGGGTGGTCCAGATTGCTTGATAAAACTCTTTGGGGATGGAAACAGTCGTTAACCAGCTAGAGAGCTTATAGAGGGCTATTCTTAATGGAATTAGGAGGTTGTATTTCGGACACCACGGCTATTCTAAAACTTACTGCTTTATTGAGCGTATCAGCCGTAGATATTGTAGACAACTGGGTGCTAGTAAAAGGGATCTGGGTACACTTGACAGTTTTTAAAACCTTCGCATACCGAGTACTTCATCGAAATTACTAAAATGGATGAGTGAAAGAGAGTAGTATTGGTGTAAAATTAGAAGTAGAAGATGTTTCGAAATGGGACTATAAAGTAGTTGTCATTTGTTTTTTAAGTATACATACATTTTGTGCAGATGCTTGCGAGCGCAAGTAAAAGAACGTTTCCCTACATATTTTGCCCAATGTTTCGCTAAAGTATTAAATATATCTTTTGGCAATGCTTCATTGTGAGCAAAATTGTGCTTCCAGATTTCTGCAAAGCGTTTCATGGAGAGATTGCCGCCTGACAGTTGTGTAGTCCGCCAGTAGCATAGACAGGTGGGCTCGATAGAATTGATCCACCCATGAAAGTTAAAAATCAATATTCCATCCGCTATCTACGCTGCTGAGTTGGGCGTTAATAATTACTCTGTAAGGCAGTAGGTAATCAGATTCGCCTAGCTTCTACATCGACCGCTTCTGAATACTTCAAAACCAGATTGATATGGATGATGAGTTACAGCTGGGCATTGCGGAAAAATGTTAGACTGATGAAAGGGCAAATCAGGGCAATCTGGGTCATTCTCTTGTCAGGAGAGGTATAGGAATTCGTTCAACTGACAATTGGCCAGATGAATAAAAACTAAGAAATTGCTTTTTCTTAAAATTTCAGAGCCTTTACTTGAACTTGTTTGAATAAATCGAGTAAAAGATCTGAAATGTTTACAAAAAGAAATTGCTTAGTTTTTATTCATAAAGGGCAATGAGTGGGGGAAAATAAATAAATATTTGGCGGTTAGATTTTTTCTAAGTTTTACATATTTTATCCGTTGGTCCTATGGTTTTACGCCGCCCCCGAAAGCCTAATGGTTTTTTATAGCGCATTGCCATTTGGTGGTTTGCCGCTGTCTGCGGAGAGTAGCACACACCCCCAACAATTAGGATATGTTGGCTGAGACAGCTTGTGGGGATCGAAAATACCATACATTAGCCAGGCTAAGCTTTAAGTATCAGCACTCACATGCATTTTATCAAAACGCCTGAGCAACTCTCAGTGACGGACATCAGCTGCGTGAAAAACTTCATTATGAGGCATGCTAGAACTTAGCGAATCTAACTTTTCATTATTTATAATTTTCATAAATTTTATCACATTACATATTCGCATTCGCATCAAGCTAATGCGAGAAAAACCAAATGCTCTTAAAAAGCTCTAACATTATATAATGCAAGATAGTCAAGGCCAAAAAGCTTAAGTGCAGGTGGTACGTGAATATTTTTGCAACGAAGAGTTCATTCGCTTTACACAATATTCTTTGCTAAAAAATCAACCACAAACAATGCATTGACTAAAAATGACTGCAATTCAGAATAAAAATAGCAACAACTAACACGAATATTATGCAACCGGTTCCTTTTAATCGACGGCACGGCGTTATAAATAAGCAACTGGTGTGCGAAAAATTCTTACAATTGATTTTGCTTTTTTTATATGGATGTATGCAACCATTTATATTTTTGTTATTTTTAAAGCTCATTGCTGGTCTGAAAACACAATTGTCGCGCCCATTGAATCTGCACGCACCACTGGAAGGGATTGGCTTTCAATACGGCTTCAACACCAAGGAGCTACAAAACATTGTCACATATTGGCTTGAGACATATCTGCGAAATTGGGATAAAAGGGAAGCATATTTGAGTCAGTTTCCACATTTTGAAACCCAAATTCAAGGGTAAGTAACGGAAGATTAATTTAAGATATGTATGTTCATAGTTCTACGTTTCAAAAATGATTTGTTTGACAAAACGCAAACATTTTCAATTGTGAGTACATATGTATGTAATCTTTGTGTTATGTAATCTTCATACAATACTAATTGCCGATATGTAGGCGAGTAAGCTTGAGCGTGCACGCTCATTAAAATGCACCACAATGAACAAATGACGCTCTCAAAGAGGTCAGTAACAATGTCAGCAAAACCGCGAAGCCGCGACGTACCGGGTTGATGTGCCTGGAATATTGAAATTAAATTTTGAGAATATTCACTATTTGCTTATATATATGCGCCCAGCTGTATGTTTTCATTTACAAGACTTCACAGGCACGTAGTTGTACACATATTTCCATTTACATATACTCGTAGTTACTTAATAACTTCTACTTATTCAAAAATCAAGTAGATAAATGTTGGCAAATTGAGTTAATTATTATTTCTATGTACTTAGTTTTTTCAAGAGCACTTCCTTATAAGGATAACAGCCAAAAACTCAAAATTAATTCCCCTTGTGGACGGCATAGAGCTGCGAAAGATCAACCTTAGGCATTATATGGCCATTCCATTGAAAAGAGGAAAACGACATAAATTTAAATATGCCCTAAATATCTCTATTTCAGTAGTAACCTCTTTTTGAATGCCTACATTTCATTAACCTGTGGGCAAAAAGAATACTTACAAAATCAAAAGAAGTTGTAATTTTTGTCTATGGAAACTTTTATTTCATGCTCAACACAAATATATCGTTCTTGAAAATCAAGTGTTTTGGCTAAAATTCCTCATTGAGTACACAAGGTTAAAATAGAGTTATTTTCAGTGTCCCACCAGTCACATTCAATCAAATGATAGTTACATAAAACTAAGAAATCGTTTGGTGTGTTTGTTAAAGCAATTTTATACATTAGTTATCGTTCTACATATTTATGTTAAAAATTATCTTTCGCTGTTGTATAAGTTCCAACGACATAGTTAAAATTAATATATTGTTAAATAATTGTTCACATTGTGGAGTAAAATGTAATGTCCCACTAGTCCATATGGCCCATATGCTAAATTTTCAATAGGCTTTGAAATGACAATTAAAGAAAGTCGCGTGGAAAAGATTTTTAATCTCTAAGTTAAGTTTCATATTTTTCACTTATTTTTAATACAAATCCTCCAAATATGCCTACAACAATTATTTTTTTTTTTTTGATAAATGCAATTCATATGGCTATCGAAAAAACAAACTTTAAAGTAAGGACAGAAAATAAAATAAATAAAATCACAATTTGGTACGCCTAAAAACATTTATTTCAATTGTAATTTTTTTCCAATTTTGATCCAAATGAGGATCCAAAAAAAAAAGAGAAAAAGGAATAGATGACACGGAGAATAATCGTTTCTAAGTTTCTAGGTAAGTCAAGTCAGGTCTAAGTCTTGCATAACTGAGCTTTAGGAATTTTCGTTGTTTTTTATCATTTTTTTTCGGACGGTGCTAGGCATCTTCTTCCACATATGTACATATACATATATGTACATACATAAATACGTAAACTGCGAAATGTGTACGAAATATATGTATATATACTTAAGCAAAAAATAATTATTAAAATTCTACGAGATTTCTTACTCCATTACACTGAAAACCTAAAATTTATCTAAAAATTCATTTTTTTTTAAACAACTTCAAAAAGGTTTTTAAAACAAACTTTCTAATTATGAACTAAATCGGACCATAAATATGTACGTGTTTTTCAAAAATCTCAACTCCTACAAATATCGGTAAATTATTATAAATGTAAACAAACATACATAAATATGTACATACCGTACCAGAAAAGTTCGCTATACACCTTCGAATCTAAAGTTATTTTGCAAGGCAATTTCGACTTTTTTTTTGGCCGTACGTAGGGTCGCTCCTTAACATTTTTCGTCATATCTTCGGCATTTACAGTGGGATCTAAAGTATAATATATCTATGTTCTTGTTTCGAGGATACAGTTTTTTGTTCGCAAGTTCATTGACCTCAAATATCTCATTACTTACCCAATATGTCTCAGTTATTATTATCCATAAGTACCACCCTAATGTAACTAAATTAAAGGTCACCACAAATCATTGCACTTTTGGAAAATAAGTATTTTTATTACTGCAGTAGAACTACGTATTAAAAAAATTTCTTTTCGAATATATGTAGGTGTCACTGCAAATTGTAAAATGCAATCACTAGGCGCAGTAAAAAAATCAAAAATTTTCGAAATAGCCTTGAAAAACATACTTTGGACTCGGCGGTGTTAGGCGATCTTATTTTTTTTCCTTATATGTTGGCACCCTCTAATGTATATATTTACACATGTATCCACTTTAAAATTGGCATAAGTAGATATTACCTTTTTTATCGAATTTAAAAACTTCTGCTTGTTCATAGATACAATTAAAAACGTGTTCTCTTCTTGTTTATTGTTATATTTTTTTCTATCGTACAGTTTGCGAATACACTATATTCACGTGAAACCCCAAATAGCGGAAGGGAAAACGGTACTCCCATTATTATTACTCCATGGCTGGCCTGGTTCTGTGCGCGAATTCTACGACATCATTCCATTACTTACAAGTCCAAACGAAGAAAGCGAATATATTTTCGAAGTTATTGCACCCAGTTTGCCAGGTTTTGGTTGGTCCCAGGTATAATGAACATATTTCTGGCTTAGAGTGGTATTATCACTATATATTTAAATACTAACATCCTTTTCTATTTTCAGGGCGCTTCGAAAATCGGCTTTGGACCCGCTCAAATAGCTGTAGTTTTGCGAAATCTTATGCAACGCATTGGGCTTGACAGATTCTTGGTGCAAGGTGGTGATTGGGGCTCTGTAATTGGTTCGAACATGGCTGCGCTCTTTCCACAAAATGTATTAGCTTATCATTCCAATTGGTGTATCTCTTTGAGTCCTCTCGCTCTGGTCACCAAAACGCTGTGTGCTTTGTTTCCCAGACTTTATCTTGATTCAGAGCAAAGGGAATTCTTCCGTTCTTTCAGTGACGAAAAATCATATCTACTTGAAGAAACTGGCTATGTACATTTGCAGGCTACAAAACCTGACACCATTGGTACCGTCCTATCATACAATCCCATCGGTTTGGCTGCATATATCTTGGAAAAATTCTCAACCTGGACAAATCCAGAATATAGAAAACTTTCGGATGGCGGTCTAACCAAAAATTATACATTAGATAGTCTGTTGGACAATGTTATGATTTATTACATAACTAACTCTATAACAACATCGCAACGCATCTATGCGGAGGCGTTTTCAAAAACACAAACTGACCTCGATCGCGTTCACATACAAATACCAACTGCGTGCGCGCGTTTTAAGTGGGATTTAACACACGCCACGGATGCTGAACTTAAGCATAAATATAAAAATCTTACCCAGAGTACCTTCTACAAGGATGGCGGGCATTTTCCGGCACTAGAAGTGCCACAAACACTTTTTAAGGACTTTATTGAGTTTGTTAAAAAAGTAGCCTTATAATTTTATGCAAATGGCATTTTTTAATTAAAGGGTATTTACGTATCTAGATTCATATTTACATTAGGGTGGTCAAAAATATTTGTTTCAGCCATAGTTAATACAATTTTAAAGTTAAATAATTATAATTTTAATTTTGGAAGATTTATGAAATCAAATATTTTTATTCGGTGAAAAAATATTCATTCTTAACGTTTTATAGCAATTCAACGAACAAATGTATTTTTAACAAACCAAATATATCGCATGTTTAATAATAGATATAGAGAAGTAATTCAAAATTCACGTTTTTGGAGATTTCATCATACAACTAATAAGCCTGATAAGGATGAATCGCTCCAACTTTGATTGCGATTTCCCACAAAATTGAAATTTCCGAAATACTTCTGTATATTATTAAACGTATGATATGTACATATATATGGAAGAATTTAAAGTGCCGGTGACATGGATAAATGTTAACCTACTTCAAAATAAAAAAATATGGGTCTCCATGTTTTCAAAATTCTTCATTTGTAGGGGATGGTAGCAGGAAAATTTCAAAAACCAAATTTTCCTTAAATTTTTAAATCACCCTAATTTTTTTTCTGTTATAGTTAAGAAAGAATCTCACTGTACTATGTTCTCGTTTCTTATTTACAACAAACATATTTAGTACAACACAAATAAACGATTTTGATCTACCAAATATCTTTAATTGATGGTTGCTTTCGCGAGGTTACGCTTCACAGCAGTGAGTAATAGAGTGAAAATTTTCGCCAATTCGAATTAGGTCAAACTACTGTTAACTAGGGAGACTATTGTGGCATTCACAACAATGTCGTAGGTGGCATATTCTTGTATGTCGTAAACTTAAAAAGTTTACATAAATAATTAGGGGACTTGAAACCACAAGCAACTATCTTTAACACCGCGAAAAGTCATAATATGACCTTTATGGCGACTCGCGAACCCCCTTTGTATATATTTCGCCGTTTAAAGTTTACGATATTTACACAATATGTTACGACATCGTTGTGAATACCCCACATAAATATATGTATGTACATATCTATACGTATATTTACTAGGTTACGTGGAAAATAAAGTACTTCAATTTTGTTTGCTCGTTTTTATACAAATCAGCTTTTCTTTCTTTTATATTTTTGAATTTGCATGGAAACATTTTATTAAGCTCGTATTTAGAATTGAACAAGAACTTCCGAATGTGCCTCTAATAATACCTCAAACCAATGCAAACAAAAAAAAATAAAAACTATAGGCGCTTTGAATTTTTCACTTTCGCGTAAGTAACCCAGCCGTTTGACCTAATGTGCTGTGTGTGTGTGTAATAATATTGCTTGGTAAATGTTAATTCACGCGTCACAAATCAGGAAATTAATTCACTTTAGAAACCACAATACGACAAAAAAATTAATACAGATGTAAAAAAACATGTACATATGTTTAGCTTTTTTTTAACGTGAAGCTCTGTTCAACGTATTGACTTTAATGTAACAATGTGGAAATAAACCAGTGATTCTCAAAGTGGTCCAGGTGGACCCCCAGGGGTCTNCATATGTTTAGCTTTTTTTTAACGTGAAGCTCTGTTCAACGTATTGACTTTAAATGTAACAATGTAGAAATAAACCAGTGATTCTCAAAGTGGTCCAGGTGGACCCCCAGGGGTCTACGGGAGACTCGATAGGGGTCTATGGTGGCGTAAAAAAATCTGGGGGCCGACGAAAATTTATCTGGTTTCGATAGTAAAGAACCAAAATGGTTGTTTGATATCCCATTTATTTAACTTGAATTTTTTTGGTGTATAGTGCTCTTGACGGACTGGTGAACTTACCTTCAATTTATGTCATTATACGTGAGGAAGCCTTAAAGGCCACCTGCAGACTAAAAAGAAACGGATGTTGGTATAACACTGAGTGAGGCGATGCGGAAATTGCCGGCGGCAGATATATGAGCACTTGTGTCTTTTCATTGCTACAGGATAGTACGCCACCATTACCTTTGTTGAAGAGATTCTAGAGAAAGAGTGCGATGAGGGGGAATGCTGGTTTAATTCCAGTACTGAGCCCGCACTCGTACTTTGTCGAATCTTTACTGATGGCTCCAAAACTGAATCAGGGTCAGGATCTAGAGTATTTTTCGAAGTTAATGGGGATAAGCTTCACTTTTTCTCTTGGGGAATATGCTTCGGTTTTCCAGGGTGAGGTATTTGTAATCCCCAAAGCCATAGACTATGTGGTAGTAAATAGGTGGTGGGGAAGGAGTTTACTTGTCTACGGGTACAGCCAAGCTGCACTTAAGTCATTGACCAGCCCTCCAACTTCCAAACTAGTCCGGCAATGCAAGTCGCGACTAAATTCTGTTGGTAAAGATAACTAGCTTTGCTTTACTCTGGGTGCCGGGCAACTCGGGAGTGCCTGGAAATGAGACAACTGACCCTTTGGCCACAGTTGGCTTAGACCAGGCATTTCTCGATCCGCAACCAATTATAGTGCTCCCTACTTCAACCATCGAAGCCACCATCAGAAACTGGGTGGATACTTTGCTCAGCAATGACTGGGAGCCATCGAGTGGATGCAAGTGGGCAAACCTCATGTTGCCTTCAACCTCAGAAGGTCCTTCTAGTTTTTTCCTCTCACTGAGAAGACGTGACTGCTGACTGGTCACTTCATGTGGCACAAACACCGTAAATGACAACTCCATTTGCCCATCCTGCTTTGAAGAGGATGAGACGGTGGAACACTTCTTGAGCTTCTTGCTTGCTTGCTTATTTGTTTATCATCGATTCATGTATCTAGAATGGGTCTTTTCTTTTTTGTCAGTTTCTAAATTTGAAGTTTGGCGTAAAAAGCTTTGCAGTTTTGTTGTTTCAAGTGTTTTGTTTTAAAAATGCGAATAACGAATATTTTTTGCATCACTTTAAAACTCGGAGCGATAAAAATAAAAATGATGCCATCAACACAAATAAACTATTTGCATGCAAATTCATGAGTGCTCTTAAAAAATATAACTCCTCAGAGCGAAATAGGTCTTTCATGGCTTTACGAGCTCTATTTTTTAAAACTTGCAAGTGTGTAACCACATTAATTTAATAAANTCCCATTTATTTAACTTGAATTTTTTTGAGTGGTGTATAGTGCTCTTGACGGACTGGTGAACTTACCGTCAATTTATGTAATTATACGTGAGGAAGCCTTAAAGGCCACCTGCAGACTAAAAAGAAACGGATGTTGGTATAACACTGAGTGAGGCGATGCGGAAATTGCCGGCGGCAGATATATGAGCACTTGTGTATTTTCATTGCTACAGGATAGTACGCCACCATTACCTTTGTTGAAGAGATTCTAGAGAAAGAGTGCGATGAGGGGGAATGCTGGTTTAATTCCAGTACTGAGCCCGCACTCGTACTTTGTCGAATCTTTACTGATGGCTCCAAAACTGAATCAGGGTCAGGATCTAGAGTATTTTTCGAAGTTAATGGGGATAAGCTTCACTTTTTCTCTTGGGGAATATGCTTCGGTTTTCCAGGGTGAGGTATTTGTAATCCCCAAAGCCATAGACTATGTGGTAGTAAATAGGTGGAGGGGAAGGAGTTTACTTGTCTACGGGTACAGCCAAGCTGCACTTAAGTCATTGACCAGCCCTCCAACTTCCAAACTAGTCCGGCAATGCAAGTCGCGACTAAATTCTGTTGGTAAAGATAACTAGCTTTGCTTTACTCTGGGTGCCGGGCAACTCGGGAGTGCCTGGAAATGAGACAACTGACCCTTTGGCCACAGTTGGCTTAGACCAGGCATTTCTCGATCCGCAACCAATTATAGTGCTCCCTACTTCAACCATCGAAGCCACCATCAGAAACTGGGTGGATACTTTGCTCAGCAATGACTGGGAGCCATCGAGTGGATGCAAGTGGGCAAACCTCATGTTGCCTTCAACCTCAGAAGGTCCTTCTAGTTTTTTCCTCTCACTGAGAAGACGTGACTGCTGACTGGTCACTTCATGTGGCACAAACACCGTAAATGACAACTCCATTTGCCCATCCTGCTTTGAAGAGGATGAGACGGTGGAACACTTCTTGAGCTTCTTGCTTGCTTGCTTATTTGTTTATCATCGATTCATGTATCTAGAATGGGTCTTTTCTTTTTTGTCAGTTTCTAAATTTGAAGTTTGGCGTAAAAAGCTTTGCAGTTTTGTTGTTTCAAGTGTTTTGTTTTAAAAATGCGAATAACGAATATTTTTTGCATCACTTTAAAACTCGGAGCGATAAAAATAAAAATGATGCCATCAACACAAATAAACTATTTGCATGCAAATTCATGAGTGCTCTTAAAAAATATAACTCCTCAGAGCGAAATAGGTCTTTCATAGCTTTACAAGCTCTATTTTTTAAAACTTGCAAGTGTGTAACCACATTAATTTAATAAATAGAACAGCAGAAAATATTTTATTTTTATTTTTGCCACTCTAGTTTTGGAACTCACTTGCGATGCAAAATTCCATCGTTAGATTTAATCTTCAGATTTTTTGATGGGCTTTGGGAATAACTATGTTAGAAATGAGCATCAGGGGGTCCACCGAAACCAGTAAAATTTTGAAAGGGCTCTACGAGAAAAATAAGTTTGGCAACCACTAAAATAATCTATTTCAACTAAAAAAAGGCTTTTTCTTAAAATTTCGATTTCTTCAAATAAATCTTAGTAAAAGGACTGAAATTTTAAGAAAAGGAAATTTGCTAAATTTTTACTGATAAGGTGCATTGTCACNGAAGAGGATGAGACGGTGGAACACTTCTTGAGCTTCTTGCTTGCTTGCTTATTTGTTTATCATCGATTCATGTATCTAGAATGGGTCTTTTCTTTTTTGTCAGTTTCTAAATTTGAAGTTTGGCGTAAAAAGCTTTGCAGTTTTGTTGTTTCAAGTGTTTTGTTTTAAAAATGCGAATAACGAATATTTTTTGCATCACTTTAAAACTCGGAGCGATAAAAATAAAAATGATGCCATCAACACAAATAAACTATTTGCATGCAAATTCATGAGTGCTCTTAAAAAATATAACTCCTCAGAGCGAAATAGGTCTTTCATGGCTTTACGAGCTCTATTTTTTAAAACTTGCAAGTGTGTAACCACATTAATTTAATAAATAGAACAGCAGAAAATATTTTATTTTTATTTTTGCCACTCTAGTTTTGGAACTCACTTGCGATGCAAAATTCCATCGTTAGATTTAATCTTCAGATTTTTTGATGGGCTTTGGGAATAACTATGTTAGAAATGAGCATCAGGGGGTCCACCGAAACCAGTAAAATTTTGAAAGGGCTCTACGAGAAAAATAAGTTTGGCAACCACTAAAATAATCTATTTCAACTAAAAAAAGGCTTTTTCTTAAAATTTCGATTTCTTCAAATAAATCTTAGTAAAAGGACTGAAATTTTAAGAAAAGGAAATTTGCTAAATTTTTACTGATAAGGTGCATTGTCACAATATGTACAATGAAATAAGCAAACTTACTAGAGATTAGGAATAAAAATTTTCAGTATAAAAAACTTACATTTCCTGGCTAGGCNGATATGTACAATGAAATTAGGAATAAAAATTTTCAGTATAAAAAACTTACATTTCCTGGCTAGGCTTTATATATGAGCCGTTAATTTGCAAGTGGCATAACTCCTTCCCTCCGATGGCAAATATTCAAAAAATTTATTAAAAAAATATACCCCCCTCAAAACTACTTTCGAATCAAAGATTTCTTAAGCACCCATATTTTAATTATTCATATAAATTTTTAATTTAAGTAAATTCGACAGGTGACAGCCTTGGTTAGGGCCTTTGTGAATTAATGTAACGATAAGGGCCAGTTTTTCAGTGCACGGCCGTGGTTTAAACTCAGTTCAAACGCCCGATATGGCTGGTTTAAACTAAGATTAGCCAATCAAATGTCAGCCAGCTGTTAAGTTTAAACTCAGTTTACTTAATCTAAGTTCAAACTGGCAGTGAAAAATTGGCCCTAAGCATCACAAAAGTTGCTCATACGCCATGTCTTGCGCAGGCAGAAAATAAAATCCAATTAAAAACTAAGATATACATAAGATACATATACTAGCAGACCCGGCAAACTTCGTCCCGTCCAAAATTAGTTTTTTGTATTGAAACATTTTGGTCCAACATTTTCACCAACAGTTCACGTTCATGAATCATGAATTTCAGTGACGCATTTATCTTCTAATATTACGGTTTGGTGGTTGTCAGAAGGCATATTTTCATTGCCCTCTTAAATAACCTAGCAAACGTATGCATACAAAGATACGTAATAGCTTCAGTGCATTTGAAAGGCGCCACGCCCCCTCATAAAAAAAAACGCAATTTTCTCTAAGAGTATGGAATGGATTTCATATATCTCCGTACCATGTTCGAGTACTCTACCATGAACACTTAATCCGGTTTGTATGAGAGGTGCCACACCCCCTTTTCCAATAGCCCCAATTTTTCTTCACGACTATGCGATTGATTTTATATATCTCCATACCAAATTTCAGTACTCTACCACGAACACTTCTAGAGATATGCAGTGTGAAAAATTCGGTTCGTATGGGAGATGCCACGCCCCCCTGCACCTAGCAGTATGAAATATACTTTACATCCGATTCTCAAACCTACCATATATGCACAAAAAATTTCTTAGAGAACGGTCAAGCCGTTTAGGAGGAGTTCGACCACTAACACCGTGACAAGAGATTTTTATATTTTTGATGTATACTTATATATATGTACATTAGGGCGCATAGTAATTTTCCTAAAAAAATCACCTAACTTGATAGAAGAGTTTAAGCTTAAAAGGTCCGTATAAAAATGTTTAAAAATTGCAGCATCGTAATCGAAATAATAAGATTTTTGGAGGTATTTTAAAATCGTCTAGCTAGCTGGCGGAAGTGTTTTATAGCCCATTAAGTGCAAGTTTTGAGTGGCTACAAAATTCCTCTTAATTTCGTTGACGGGGTTACGTCATTTTTACCATACAAGGTATGCTCAAGAATTTTTCTATACGGGAAAAATTAGCAACAACTTCAACCAAAAAAATTCACACAGCCACGGTAAGTTCTAGCTCTTCAAACTTGCACTCTGTTGGGTTAGAGGGCTATTACCAACAACATTTAGTCCGTACAATTACTCATACATTATTTATTTCATTTAGTACAATAGTTCTACATGCTTCATATCACCCACTTAGTTGTTTTACACTCAAATTCTAGCTTTAAGAGCATTGAAGCTCCTTTGTGTGCTTTCTCACAGTTAAGCTCTATATACTTAGCACTTCAATTTTAATGTAAATATGTAATTAGTTTAGTTCACCCAAGGCAATGAAATAAAGAATACATAAAATTCACACGTCAAGTGTTTTTTATTGGCTTTACCCGAAACACACTCTACATACGCAAAAGGTTTCTAAGAAGTCTACTTGAAAAGCTCGAAATTTTGATGAAACTTGATCGAATCTTCCTAAATTTTGTACAAAATTTGAAATACGGACTTATATGGTTTTTGTTAAATAACGTATAAGTTCATAAAAGATGTAATAAACATTAAAAAATAAATAAATAAAAAAGTTAAAATGTCCCTTTTTATATTTTCGCCACTATATGTTACACTCGCCGAAACTGACGAACAAAATTCTTCTGCGCACAATCCATTTTTGAGCCATCCATAAAATTTTGTAGATGGTTCCAAACGTTCAGCAAAAGCGTTTCCTATCTCTAAATGATACCTTATTGAGCCTTGCGATAATTCATGATCGATTTGTCCAATATTTGATCTACATACAACATACAAGTTTTTACTTTTTCATTCAAAAGTTATGTTATAGGCTATAACTTATAGCCATCAAATTCCCAACTGATTTGAAGCCCAGCAGGAAAAAGAAGTAGTTCGCAACTATTGAAGTCAACTGTCCTTAATTGTGGTGCACACTTACTAATCGAGGTCGAGTCTCCTCAAACGGGGCACATACATATGTTCCAAAGTAGTTATATCGACGCCAGAATTTTGAATTTACGTTCTAAGGAAACTTATTAGACCTCATGCAGAAAAAGTGAGCTTAAGCTCCGACTCGATTTTCAGTACAAATTCTTGAGCTTGAGCTCATTTGTTCGGTCCGAAAATTGAGTCAGAGCTCTCTTTTTATGCAAGAGGCCCATTATTTATGAAAGGAGCGGGAACTTTACATTTTGTGAATCGAATTCTCCATTTAATGTCGACATTTCGAAAAATGCTTCTACATTGACGCCAGAAGTTTTTTTTTTTTTTTAACAAAACTTTACTTTTTGGGTACGATATTCGTATATCGACTGCTGAGTGGAAGATCGACCTATCTCGGCGGCCAGTTCGAAAACGCCCTATCTCAAAAAACTTTTCAAGAACGTCCTATTTCAGAATTTAATTGAAAAACACCCTATGTCAAAATTCGGTTCAAAAACGGCCTATCTCACTTCAAAATGTATTGAAAATATGCTGATATAGGGCGTTTTTGAATCGGCAGCTGAGATAGGCCATTTTTGAAACGAATTCTGAAATAGGGCGTTCTTGAAAAGTTTTTAGAGATAGAGCGTTTTCGAATTGGCTGCCGAGATAGGTCGATCTTCCACTCAGCCATCGATATTCCATTATAAGAAGGTACGGTTAATGTAATATTCTTTCCCCAGCAAGCTAGAACAAAAAAATACATACATACATACATTTTTGCCCTGTGAAAAGAGGGCAAACTGAAACAGGAAGTACCAAAACGCGCGGGCACTCAAATTCTAATTGGGTAAGTAACCAATTTTATTGAGCACTTCTAGCAGACCGATTTCCTTTTTTTTTGCCGACTGGGATTTATATTTTCCAGCCAATAGTAAATTTACCGAATTGTTTATCATTACGGCCATAAAACTTCTAATCCCCTTCACGCATGCTGTCGAATACTTACTTATTGTAAATTCAAAGTTTCAGCAAATCTTATCATTTTGAAGCACTGACGCTATTTATCATATATGTACATAAGTATGTATGTATGTACATAAATAGGTATGAGTTCAAACTTTTGTGATGTCACCAGCATGGGACATGGATTGGTCTAAATTTTTTGTATTTTGAAAGCAAAATATATTTAGAGGTCGCTCAAAGCGCTTAAACAACTTAATGGTACAGAATTCTTGAAAATAAATTTTTCGATCGGAAAACTCTGGTTCTTTTCAGAATACTTTCAATAGCAATACCCAATTCTTTATTTAACCATTTTTTAATACTATTGTATTGTGGAGGTTTTGGTGGACCTTTAAAATATAGTTACTATGAAAAAATTGTTAGATAAATAATTGGGTATTATTATTGGGAATCGCCTGAAAAGAGTGAGAGTTTTCCGATCGAAGAATATTGATTTTCAAGAATGCTATACCATTTCTACGAAAAGTGTTTTTTCCGATATGAAATACATCGTAAACTTTGAGCGCTTTGAGCGACCTCTAAATATATTTGGATTTCAAAAAAAATGGTATATTTTTCGGTATAGAACAACCCTGGGGGTGAGAGCATAAAAATTCCAATTTTACTTTTTGGACCACCCTAATGTACATATGTCAAGACGCTTGTTTAACTCACTGTCCACTGATAAGGAAACAGCCAGATTATTTGGTTTCTAGCAGCTACAATCTCAGCAGACAAACCACCAATCGCCACGACCACAAATAACAGTCAACATTAAAAACGTGAAGATCAAACAACGTCGGCCTTTTGAAAATTAATTTTAAATAAGTATGGTTTGGCTAAAACGAGTTTTGTGGTTTTTTGGCATTGTTTGTGGGCTCGCGGCTATGGTCGCTTATAAGCGCATAGACACCATATTCGAATGTGAACCGCCAGAGGTATCACTTCAGCAATGGTGGGGTGATGAAGAGCCGCCCAAAGACTGGGCAGCCTATTTGGAAAATTCCTCATTGGTGATTGGTAATAAGTTAAAGTTCTCAGATGCGGTAAGCAAGAGTTAATAGCAATTACATATAGAAACAAACTAATGTTTTCCACTTCCTTGACTATGCAGACTATTGACGATTTACGTAAACAACTGAATCGCACTTTGCGGCTACCAGAGCCTTTGGGCAAACCTGACTTTAGAAATGGTTTCAATACGCAAGAATTAAAGAATATCGTCGATTATTGGCGTGATGACTACTTGCCGCGTTGGCGCGAACGTGAAGTATTTCTATGGCAGTTCAATCACTTCACCACCGAAATTCAAGGGTAAATAGAATTTCTGCTTATGACTTGCTAAAGACTTTTCTTGAAGTTCGCGGAAAGAGGGCACAGTCCACCAGTATTTTGCAAATTGTTATCAACATAAACTGGCTTCTGTTTCTAATTTTGATAGTTGCCATATGAACATTAGGATGCCTCATCAAAAGCGATTGCTGTGGAAAGCAACAAACTTTAAAAACAATTTTATTAATACCACATTTTTCTAGAAAGTAATTTTTTCTAAAACTATGTTTTCTATTTTTTTCTAAGTCTTATCTTGAATGTGTTTTTTCAAACACTTTTTCCCACACATTGTGTTTTTTTGCACCAAGAAACATTTTTTTTATAACTTTCACCTATGTTATTTTTTTTGTAAAATATCGAACTTCCTTTTCGCCTAAACTTATTTTTTATTGAAAAATAGTTATTTCCCTAAAATTTGTATACTAGAAAATCATTATTGTTTTTTCATATTTATTAAATTATTTTTTCTTTAATAATCAGAAATAATAGTAAAAAATAGTTTTTCCCTTAAATAAATTTTTCCTAAAAAGATACAGATTTTAGGCCCCAAAATAGCTGTGCTTTTCAAAAATAATCTTTAACGAAGAAAACAATTTTTAACGAGAAAAAACTACTTTTAACGAAATTAATAATTTTTAAAGCGAAAATAATTGCTTCTCCAGAAAATCTTTGTTTATAATGTTTGGTAATTTTTGCTAATTTGGGTAAACATATTTTTTTTTTAATTATATCTTCTCCAAAGAAATTTCTTTAAAAAAAATTATATTTTCTAAGAAGGTCAAACTTTCTAAAAATGCTCATATTTAAAAAATTTTTTCTATTTGAATCATAAGGCACTCGGCACATTACGCGCCTAATTAAAGTAGAGTAATCGTTTCATCATACCGAAACGAATGCATGACGACTCGACTTCTGCACACTTGCACGCCCTGCATAAGTCACCAGCTAATAAACACTTACTACACATAACAAATTTTTTGGCCGTTCTTTGGCAACACTTCCGCAAATATTTCTGCTCCGAAATATTGCATAAACGCTTGTGGTTTAATGCAATTTGAACGAGTTTTAGCACAAAATCATTCATTTCCAATTATTTTCTATTGAATTGACAAATATATTTTATTCCCAATACAAAGAAGTAAACAAATGACGATTTCAAAACTGCAAGCGCCTTACAATGTTGGGCGCTTCGATTAATGAAGCTTTTATGATTAGGCGCAAACATGATTTTGAATCGTAATCTACAGAGCTTCATTGAAATACATGGGTGCGGCATAAAAGCTTTATACTTTAGTATGCCGAAACGATTACACTACTGTGATTAGGAGCTTAATGTGCGGAGTGCCTAACTCCTTTTGTGTAAAATCTAAAAAAAATCATTTTCTCCTACGATTTTCTTTCGAAATAAATAACTTTTTAAGTGAAAATAATTTTTTTCTTCACAAAAAAATCTAATACATAGTGGTTGAATTTTGCAAAAGAAAATTTCTTAAAAACCATTTTTTTCTAAAAAATGCATACTTTCCAAAAGAATTCTTAGGTTGGCTTTCCTATATGGGCGATGGTTAAAGGGACGGTGGGCTAAGGAGGAGGGAGTGTGGCAACTCCTGCCTAGGCGCCCTATGGGATCTCGCACCTACAAAGTCTANTCGGAGTGCCTAACTCCTTTTGTGTAAAATCTAAAAAAAAATCATTTTCTCCTACGATTTTCTTTCGAAATAAATAACTTTTTAAGTGAAAATAATTTTTTTCTTCAAAAAAAATCTAATACATAGTGGTTGAATTTTGCAAAAGAAAATTTCTTAAAACCCATTTTTTTCTAAAAAATTCATACTTTCCAAAAGAATTCTTAGGTTGGCTTTCCTATATGGGCGATGGTTAAAGGGACGGTGGGCTAAGGAGGAGGGAGCTTGGCAACTCCTGCCTAGGCGCCCTATGGGATCTCGCTAGAGACGTGTAAACACTCAATAGAGATCTACGAGAGACCCACCTACAAAGTCTANACCATTTTTTTCTAAAAAATGCATACTTTCCAAAAGAATTCTTAGGTTGGCTTTCCTATATGGGCGATGGTTAAAGGGACGGTGGGCTAAGGAGGAGGGAGTGTGGCAACTCCTGCCTAGGCGCCCTATGGGATCTCGCACCTACAAAGTCTAGGTGAAAGTTATTTAGCGAGACTTTTTCGTCGTAAAGACATATATACATACAACAAGCATTGACAAAACTCTAGAAAGATTTCTCTACCGTACCCGGTTGGCTTAAAATGTGAAATTCTTTTTTAACTGGGCACCATATTAACAGAAGGACGCTCAAGTTAAGCTACAAAAGAAGCACAACAAATTTTAGACGCCCAGAATTCAACTTGGCGTCCAAAATACTTACGCAGGACACCAAAATAAAAATATTGAACCCGTATGTAAAGTCTTCGTTTCTGTACAGCTTGGAAACATGGTATCTCATTGTCGCTGACATCCAAATTCAGCAGGTTTTTAGTAACCGATGTATCTGTTGAAAAAGACAAAAGTAAATGGAGGAAATCTGTTATGGAATCTTCATATATGTATAAAAACCTAATTTTATTATTCACTTGGTAATTAGAACCCATATTTGTTTATATGAAGCGTGGGACTATTATATTAAGATTGCAGATGGTCGATCGTTCTGTTTAAACCACATATTTCCCAAGTTCATATCATCTAATTCAGGCCATAAAAAGTTTTTTATCATGTAACGATAACGTCCGCTCACCGTAACCGCAATATCGGCAACATTTTCGAAGAGGTCCGGCCGATGATTCCGCCAGCCCAAAAAAAAAAAACACACCAAACAGTTACTTGTTGTGGGTGCATAGTTTTTCCTTGCAGTAAATGTCGTTCGAATGGACATAAATGCTCCAGCTCTGAAAGTATTTAACGCGTATCGCGGTGCTGCTAACAGAGGAAGAGCAAGGGCTCCTCTGAGTTGACCAGGTGGAGATGGACTTGGCTTTACTTGGCATTTCCAATTGGCGTCAATTGGCACAGAAGAGAAGCCACCTACGTGCTGTTTTGGACTCGGTCAANCCCATTTTTTTCTAAAAAATTCATACTTTCCAAAAGAATTCTTAGGTTGGCTTTCCTATATGGGCGATGGTTAAAGGGACGGTGGGCTAAGGAGGAGGGAGCTTGGCAACTCCTGCCTAGGCGCCCTATGGGATCTCGCTAGAGACGTGTAAACACTCAATAGAGATCTACGAGAGACCCACCTACAAAGTCTAGGTGAAAGTTATTTAGCGAGACTTTTTCGCCGTAAAGACATATATACATACAACAAGCATTGACAAAACTCTAGAAAGATTTCTCTACCATACCCGGTTGGCTTAAAATGTGAAATTCTTTTTTAACTGGGCAGCATATTAACAGAAGGACGCTCAAGTTAAGCTACAAAAGAAGCACAACAACTTTTAGACGCCCAGAATTCAACTTGGCGTCCAAAATACTTACGCAGGACACCAAAATAAAAATATTGAACCCGTATGTAAAGTCTTCGCTTCTGTACAGCTTGGAAACATGGTATCTCACTGTCGCTGACATCCAAATTCAGCAGGTTTTTAGTAACCGATGTTGAAAAAGACAAAAGTAAATGGAGGAAATCTGATATGGAATCTTCATATATGTATAAAGACCTAATTTTATTATTCACTTGGTAATTAGAACCCATATTTGTTTATATGAAGCGTGGGACTATTATATTAAGATTGCAGATGGTCGAAATAGGGTCATTGTTTCATGAGCTGTGTGACAAGTGGCATCTTTCTGTTTAAACCACATATTTCCCAAGTTCATATCATCTAATTCAGGCCACAAAAAGTTTTTTATCATGTAACGATAACGTCCGCTCACCGTAACCGCAATATCGGCAACATTTTCGAAGAAGTCCGGCCGATGATTCCGCCAGCCCAAAAAAAACACACCAAACAGTTACTTGTTGTGGGTGCATAGTTTTTCCTTGCAGTAAATGTCGTTCGACATAAATGCTCCAGCTCTGAAAGTATTTAACGCGTATCGCGGTGCTGGTAACAGAGGAAGAGCAAGGGCTCCTCTGAGTTGACCAGGTGGAGATGGACTTGGCTTTACTTGGCATTTCCAATTGGCACAGAAGAGAAGCCACCTACGTGCTGTTTTGGACTCGGTCAAAATCGCTCAGGCGGCCATAGCGCCAATAAAGGAGAAGAAGGGTGAAGTTTTGCTTTTTATTGTGGTCCAAACAACTTCTACGCATTGTTCAACTGGGTATCGCTTCATGACTAAGTTTGCCAAGCCTGTAGTACCAATTTTCTGAAAAATCAAATATTAACATATCACAAATAATTTATGTGAAAGATCTGCATTACCCTATACAAAAACAGTTTAAAACATATGTACATATCGTCACCTTAATTCACTACACCAACAATTTTTTTAATTTACAGGAGAAGCAAAAAACATTATAAAATGAGTATCAAAAACATGTAGAGCTTTTTTAAAAGTGGCATGTAACTCCATTGTTTTTGGTACTAACACTTCAAATGTTTTTATTGAAGGTGTGTTTTAATACATCCTACCAAAATGTGCGAAAAACGCAATTGGTTAGGGCCTTTATGAGTTAAAGTAACGATATATTTTTTAACAATACATACTCACATACACCACTTCTTTTCAGCTTACTTATACATTTCTTGCATTTAATGGTTTATGATGAGAACAAAGTGGATAAAAATCACTACCCTGTACTTCTGCTGCATGGCTGGCCCAGCTCAATACGTGAATTTTATCCGCTAATACATAAACTTCATCAGACACATCTGGATAAGAAAAACAAATATATTTTTAATGTTGTGGTGCCTAGTTTGCCAGGGTTTGCGTGGTCACAGGTAGTCATAAAATAATATTAATAAATTTATTTATTTGTTAATTTTTTCTGCCTTTTTTGTAGGGCGCATCGAAAGTGGGCCTAGGCCCCGTACAAGTGGCTGTAATCATGCGCAATCTTATGCTGCGTTTGGGCTATAAGCGATTCTTCATACACGGTAGTGATATGGGTTCCCTAGTTGCTTCTCATATGGCTACGCTATTTCCAGAGAATGTACTTGGATATCACTCAAATTTGTGCGCTGTCTTCACGGAGCGGTCGCTTGTGAAAGGCTTTATAAATGCAGTGAAATCCAATATTTTCGGCGCACATGGCTTTGAAGCCAATTTCTTGCCACATTGGGAGCCCATAAAACATCTGATCGAAGAAAGTGGCTACTATCATTTACAAGCTACAAAACCAGACACAATTGGAGCTGTGCTCACCGACAACCCGATTGGCTTAGCTGCCTACATACTAGAGAAATGGTCCTCGCTTACTAATAGGAAGTATAAAGAATCTGCCAATGGCGGTTTGAGTGAACGTTTCAAGCTGGATGCACTCCTGGATAATGTTATGCTATATCACTTGACGAATTCGATAATTACTTCCTCACGTCTATTCGCCGAAACTCATTCTCAGCAGCAACGTGAGTTGCAAATGGATTGGGTTCCAACTGATGTGCCGACCGGTTGTGCACGTTTCAAGCATGATTTGATACACTTTTACGATAATCAGTTGAAAGATAAATATCGTAATTTGATTCATAGCAAATATTATAGCAATGGTGGACACTTTGTGGCGCTGGAAATGCCCCAGTTGTTGTATGCGGACTTTATAGAATTTGTAAAAAAGGTGGAGAAGTTTAGCAGTAGTCTAGCTTGGTTTTAAGTTTTCTAAATCAGATTTAACTAAGTTTAAGAACGAAAATTTTTTATTAACGATTGTATGATGATAACTTTCTAAGTGCTGTTCTGTCTCCGAGGCCCGCGTCTGAAATGATGGGGTCAACTTATACTGGACATAGATCGGTTACAGAAAGCAGCACGCAATAATAAAAATCACTAAAATATATGTATGAATGTACTCAAAAATTGCTGTTTCCAATAAATAAAGGTACAACATAAATATACTGCTTTTGCAGGGGTATACAGATCTCCCGGTAAATCAATATAAATATGTTAGCGGTGAAGCCTTGTATGCTATGGCCCAGTAGATAATTTCAGGAGAACTTCCACTCTACATTCGTTTCTCCTTTCTTTTTTGATAGAGTGGCTTAAATTGAAGGCCTTCTTGGGAGTTGTTATAAAATTGATTTTTAACTCATAAACATCATACGTCTTTAAGGTACTTATTCAAGGCTCATATAAAATATGTTTTAATGCAATCCAAAATGCATATTTAAATTCATTTGTAATGTTAACTGATAAGAATGTACAAATAAAAAAAGACTTTCTAGAGGACATGCAAGCATGCACTTTTTTCAGTACTTCTTGGGTAGGCCTTTCACAATGACTTCACTTAAGAAGACCTACCTAAATTATCTTCTGCGATATCAAATAAAAGAGTTATGAGAGAAACCCGATTTAGTTGTTTCGACAGGATGGGGTTATGTCCAACACTCTCTTAAAAAGAGGCACAACTCAAAAATTAAATCTTCTGCTTGTGGATTGTGCAGATTCTCCGCAATTTATACAAAAGCAGGTTTAACAGCAGCTTTCTAGTAAGAGTATATAAACGTGAAAAAAATATTTGCATTAATTTGAGATAAAGCCTACGAATTGATTTGAGAAGAGCTTGCGGTATGTAGGTAAAATTGTATATAAAATCGATTGAATCATTTTGGTTGTATTTCTACTAACAATGCACAAAACC